TCGATAAACGCGGGACAACCTACTAGATGCGGCAGCCATCAGACTTTGGGACTTCACACGCAACACTAGAGACGTACTATTGCCCTGATCAGCAGATGTATTTATGAGAGAACACCTGCATGTTAACACATCAGCTGCCATCCGAGAGTCAATGGTCAGGACGTACCAAGGGGAAGATAGGCATACGGAGGGAATGCAAGAAGTACGAAGTCAAGATGTGGACGCGATGGCAGGTTGATATGGGACCATACGACGACGTCATCGCGGACGGATAAGTAATTTTGGGCAGGCAAGTCCCCCTTATAATAGAAATCTGCACAAGCGGTTGGGGATGTTGAGGGAATCTGGAGAGAATGTGCATGTTCCCACCAGATTCCCATCAAAGGGGGATTTACTGGGGAATCCGTGGGTGATATGCGCGGAATACGCAAATTCCCAGCATGTTCCCCGCCACCGTAATATGGCGCTTCACGCAGTGCCAAGAGAGGCTGTCTATTGCAATTGTAGTACGAACGTCTCAGGCAGCAGTGGACGGCGGAGGGAGGAAGACTGACAAGTCTGGTGACCAAAGAGCATGCACTGTGGACCGTCTCAAGCCGCGTCCGAGTCGGACATCTAATCAGATACGTAATTGGCACTTCACCCGATCCCCGATGAGATCTGCGGGGGGCGGCGTCCATTCACTGTCCGTCGGACTCTCGTCGGACGGCCTCCCGTCCGACCACCTTACGGAAACCCTGGCTAAGTATGTACAGCTTGCATTCCCAAGTCTCTCGTAACGATCCGAATGTATCAGGCAACTGACTAGCCTAGTAATGTGCAAATATACCCGCCGGTGAGCGGGAGTACACATACTCGTCCATCCTGCCTTTTGGCGTAACGGCTTCGGTGGACGCGTTCGAGCCAAGTTACATACGCTTGCAAAACCTCATGGGGCAAATGCCATCCATGTGGAAAAGACACCTACTGGGGATAGCATGACTAGTCCAGCTTGTCATTCAGAGCAACCAAAATAACATACACCCAACGAGGAATCCGAGCAAGGTCCATCCACGTACGTCCACAAGTCCATGCAATCCTTCCGTCATACAAACGTCCGAGAATCCCTAGTTAACTTCTTCTTCCCAAGGCCAGAGCGCATCCATAGGAGCGTTGCGATGAGCGTCACACAGCACAAGCTAAACTCTGTCCAGCCCAATGCTTCCACAGTGAGCGTTTGGCGGCATCTGCTTGAAACGCTCAGCTCGTATGGGCGGCGGCGGAGATGGATGCAATACGAATAGGAACCCACCGGGATATGGGCGCGTGGCCGGCGCAGTTGCCACCCGTGCGCGCATTATGCATGAAGCCCGCACCAAGCCCCTACGTGGAACCGTCGGTCAGGACCTTCTAGACGAAGAAGAAGACGGCGATACGTACCCATAAAATGGACGTGAGCAGGAGCCATATTACAGAGCTCGCAACTTGGGCGAGGATGTGTACGGCGCCGTCGACGATCCAGAGGACGTACGCCGTAGAAAACAGCAGCGTCCACGCCGACGAGAAGCACATGAGGATGAGGCTGGAACGCAAATGGCTCTCCGTCAGTCGCGAGCGACACTTGGGACGGGCAGGAACGGACAGGGAGTGGTAGCCCGGGCTGGACCATGTTCGGGCTTCGTTCCCGGCGCTGATGAGGAATGCGGTGAGCCCGAGCTCTGCGGCTGCTGTGAGGGTCATGAGGGTGAAGAGGAATGGATGGTAGTCGGCCCGCATCGCGACTCGACGGTATCGCATGCTCTAGTGAGATGGGCAAGGTCGAAGAGGTGCTGCCTTTGCGCTAGGGGGTTGTGCAATATATGTTGGGCGGAACATGGCGCAGGATGTGTGCGACGCAAGGCGTGCTGTGGAACACGCGGATAACATGCACACTGAAATGCCCTACGAACACGGGCCTAGGAGCATCTAGAGAACTTTATCGTCGCTATAATCTTTGAGGACCGGGGTGGGGCACGGTTCGCGTCGCGCGACGATCCGGCGCACACATGTCTTGAGCATGGAGGAATATTGAGATGGGAGGACAAGAATGTCACATGATGGTACCTATGCTCGGCTGGGCGCGGGCGGTGGTTGGCCGAGGTGGGACTCGGAGTCGCGAGTGGTTGCAATCCCGGGCTGGCGACGGGCGCGCGTCCGTCGTCGAACCCATCTCTCTCCTTGCCCCCTTCCCACTCTCCCTCGTCGGCACAAGGGGGCTGCTGAGTATACCGTCCGGTCGACTACTCACTCCCCCATGCACGCCGTCGCCGCCGTCTCCTCGTCATGAATTTGTCCAACAATCCTCCTATCGACCTTCCAAAAATCCCTTTTCTCCCCCCCATCCAAATGCCCGACACTTCCAACCTCTTCAACCGATCCTCCGGCCAGAGGAGCACAGACTCCCCTTCCTCTTCGCCCCACGCCTCGCAGGACACCTTCTTAACCGCTCACACGTCCCTTTCCCCGGATCAGCCCAGCTCATCTTCTGGCAACGGCTCGCCAGTGTACTCATATCCCCCTGCCGTAACCGCTCTTCGCACTCCAGTCGGTCTTAGGAAGTCCATATCCGTCGATTCTTTCGTAAGCATCAAGCACGCCGGCCTCAAGTCCCCAAGACCCAATCCTCCTAGCCCCCTTTCCTCCGAATTCCGCGCTTCCCAGGGCGATACTGACCATCTCTCGCCCCCTTACCCACGCCAATCCGACGCTGCCACTGCCAACCTTCGCCCTATCCTGACGGAGCGCGATAAACGTGCTACCGTGACGTCCTACTCTGGCTCATCACGCAGTCGTGGGACCAGCGTTAGCACGACGACCGACGACCGCGACCCAGGCACATTGGACGAGTCGGACATGGAGCGCTCAGACGACTTCTCAAGGCGCGTGCGCAAAGGCAAGCAGAGTTCCCGCCAGTCAGTCCGGCCTGGAGACCTCCCCATGCCCTCGCGTCTCCACCCCAAGGCGTCAGCACCTGTCATGCATGTTGGCCAGACCTCTCCGATCTCGCCTTCTCGGACCAGTGTCTCCAGCGTTTCCACCAAGCACAAGAGTTTATCTAATGTGCAGAACTTCCAATACCAGCATCTTCCCGATGAGGACGAGGTGGTGAGTAGAGGTAGATCTTCCCTCCCTGGCCCTGCTTTTGACGAAGTCCACCTCAGCTGCCCCTGACGGAGGTCACGCTTCTTGTCGTCGGTCCCCATGGCTGCGGCAAGTCCACTGTTATTCACAAGGGACTGAAGTTCCCCGACCTTTCGCCACCCGAGGAGGTGACCATTGATATTTGTGGCGGCCAGAGGCCGTTCACTTGTGCGTCTTCCATACCATCCCGTGTACGCGGATTAATCTCATGGTTCCTTAGACATTGCACGGAGAGGTGTTGTTCTTCTAGACAACGACGAGCCAGTCAATCTGCGGGTGCTCGAGGCTGACATTTCCCCGTTTAACCTGGGCGAAGCTCGCGGGATGTGGGCGGATACGACGGATATGTGGGACGGCGTTGCCATCTGCTACGACGTGACCGACGAGCATCCTCAGGGTCATCTCGAGGACCTTCTCCGTAAGTCCTGAAGACACTCGAGGTCAAGTTACGGCTCATCATTCCTTTGGCAGATACCTTCCGTCAGCTCAAGGTGCCTGTCATCGTAGTCGCATGCAAGGCCGATCTGGAGACCACTGTTCCGTTCAATGTCGTCGAGGCTATGGCGAGGCGGTACGACACGGGTATCATCCAAGGCTCAAGCGTGGACGAGAATGGGAAGAAGCAGGTTCGCGCCGGCTTCCGGTGGCTCATTCAACGCATCCTCATCAGCAGAGGAGGTATGCATCACTATCGCGCATGACCTTTTGGCTTCATTGCTCACAGAGCCACCACCCTAGATGATTATCAGGGCAACCCGGCTTCGCCCAACGCCGTCTCGTCTGCGTCGCCGCCACCGTGGGAGATCTCACGCGCGTCTTCCGTAACGCCGACGGCGTCATCTTCCTATCGCAGAGAGTCCATCCAACAATCCTCACCTACCAACCGGACATTAGGCCACGCGCCTTCGCAGTCGATATCCCATGCGAGCCGTCCGTACCATCGACCCGTGACCAACCCTCCGTCCGGAGTACCTACTCCGGCGTCTCCGACACGTGCTCGCTCGACTAGCGATCTGCTGTCTGAGCACGAGAAGTCCAAGCGGGAAGAGCGGGAGGGTCACACCACAGTATATAATGCCGGACGGAACAGCAGCCATGCGTCCCTCCAGGCTCATGCCGTCGCTGGCCTCGGCTTAGATGGGCCTTCAAGTACTACGGACGTCTCGACCTCGGATGGGGTGAGGGACCTCTCCATGAAAGAATCGTGAGTGCAGTCAGCTGGCATGGGTCGCGGCGGGTCCTTACCGTTTATATCTACAGAAGTCGTGCTCCGCCTTGGATGAGTCTGGACGACTTGCTGAACAAGCTGTTATTTATGGCCGTCTGTGATGATGGTGTGTCCTCCGTCCTATGTCAGGCCTTGCTGCTCATCACGCATTCGCGCAGATCCGGTCTTCATCTCCCATTTCCTTCTCACGTATCGACGCTTTGCAAGTCCCCGGGCGATTCTCCTCGCTATGCAGAAACGCATGCGCGCTCTCGATCATCCAACGGGTGATCCTCTGTTCGCGTGTTACGCACAGATGAGGTACGTCTCGGTTTTGTCCACTGATGCAGTGCCGCTCACGCTCTCTACAGGATTTGTCAACTACTAGATCACTGGATCAATCTATATCCCACCGACTTTGCCGTGTCTGGCGCATCTAGTGCACTCGCCGCTCTCATAAAGTCGATCCTCAACAAGACCTATCTACTCCACTACGGCGCTGAATTCCTCCCTTTCCTCGAGATGGTGTCGAGTCTGAAGGACAAGGACGCGTCGTGGGCCCTCAAAGTCGAGGACGAGAGTTCTGACTCGTCTAGCATCTCGGACGAAGAACACTCCTTCCTCGTGGACCAACCTGTGTCACAGCGCTCATCAAGTCCACCCCCCATTCCCGCCGACAACGGCCCGAGCAACCCCTCAGCATCCCAGTCTGGTTTTGCGCGCGAGAGGAAGGCAAGTCTGCCGCTGACGGCGAAGGCCCTCATCTCCTCTGCCCCCACTGCAGGTCAAGGCGGCGATCTTCAGGATTCGATACCGAAGGCACCGGCCAACCTTTCACCAAAGGACATCCTGCGTGCGCTGCAGCATACTAGTCAGCTGCTGCAAAACTATGATCCCGCCGATATTGCGCAAGAGATGACCAGATTGCAATGCCAGTTCTTCCTCCGGATTGAGGTGGGTAGTAGCGAAACTATCTCCGACCCAGTGTCTGACGACTGATCACTTTATATCAGCCGCGCCATTGGCTGCAGCACGTCCTTGTACAGGGCAAGAAGGACACGGAGTCGGACCCGATCGTTGTCTATAACCTTCTTTCGAATCACTTCGGTGAATGGTGCGCTCATGTCTCCTCGGCGTCCGTTACATCCTCGGGCTAATAGTGCTTCTTCAGGGTCGTGTCGCTGATCCTCTGTCACGATAAACCCAAGAACCGGGCACGTCAGATCGAAAAGTTCATCGACATCGCGAACCGGTTGCGGAATCTCCACAACTACTCCGGGCTCCGGGCCATCATTGCCGGGATCAACAGTGCCACTTTTGAAGGAGACGAGTCGCTCGAGCTTCTTCGGACAAGATTCAGCGAGCACTGGAAAAATTTCCAGCAATGGGACCAGCTCTTGCAGTCCGTGCGCTCGCACCAGAAGTACCGGATGGCTCTACGGAATACGAAGGGGGCGTGTATACCCGCACTGTACGCCGCGGTCTGTGTCAATGCTGTTGGCTATGCACTGACTGTTTCTCTTGCAGAGAAATTCATCTATCCGATCTCATACGCGCACACGAAGGAAACCCCGACTACCATGACGACGACCCTACCAAGATTCACTGGGCGAAGTTCAACATGATGGCGCGCTTCATCGACACCATCGTTCAGTGCCAGAAGGGCTGCCGCGAGAGTGGCGATTATGACAGGTTTCCACCCCGGGATAGGATTCGAAATCTATTCCTCACCCACCAAGAGGAGTTGCTCATGGACTACGAGGTATGTCTCGTCTCTTAGTGTCCTTACGTCGACTGACCATGCTCCTGTAGATGCAACGTTCTCGCATAGCGCTCCCGGATCTCGAGTACGAGGACAACCCCAGATCAGGAGGTCCCCGCATAGTTCCCCGGGACCCTATCTACAAGGAATCTGCCGGGTTCCGTAAGCTCTTCGCCCTTTTGGGGTAAAGAACCTCGTGTCGCACCGCGTTGTCGCACCCGCTGCTTTCCATATACCTCGCTTTCTTACAGCCAGCACATATCTATGACAGTACATTACACCCGTGAATTTTTTTGTATTACCCTTGTTGTCGACGTTTGCTATGCTGAATATGACGAGTTTGTATGCGGGCTTTTGGATCGCATCCTATATACGATACCCTGTCTATGTCTGTGCACGACCCACTCACGATTTCCTTTGATCTATCCAAGCAATTCCAAGCAATCGAGCTCTCCTTCCAAGTCTCTTCAGGTCCTCAATGTCTGACTCCCTAAGTCCATCGTATGTGAGGGTCATGCGGAAGGAACTGCCAACTGAGAAGCCTTGAGGGAATCGCCGCGAGCTCCCGTCTGATTGGCTGGCAAGTCCGGACCGGGCGAGATCCGCCTCGGGAACGAGCGTCTAAATATTTGTGTCTTTCGCACTTGCGCCTCGATGTCGAAAACCCAGACTGCAGAGGAAGTCGTCGAGCTCAACCCAGACTTCTCCTTCGACCTCTCAGGCGATCCTTACAATGACTTCCTGAACGACCACATCGATGTCCAGGACCTCGTCAAAAAGGGCTCTAAGCCGGTACGCTGGAAAGTGATATGTATTTTCCGCGGCTGCTAACGGATGTACTCAGGAACCTATCTCAGTGGACGACATCATAGCCCGTCGGAAGCTGCGCGGAAACAGTGCTAGGAAGCGTAAACGTCCTGTAGAAGATGAGGGGGAGGAGGAGGATTCTGAAGGAGACGAGGACTCGGATGACCACGAAGACGACGAAGACTCTGATGGTTCTGCTGTGTCCGAGGAGGAGTACGAGGGAGTTTCAGCAGACGAAGACGAAGATGACCCTCTGGCTACTTCTGGTGAGGAGTCCGGCGTGGAGGAGGACGAGGAAAATGGAAAAGGAGACGAGGCACACGACATGTCAGATGACGCGGAGGACGAGGAAGACGCAGCATCCTCCTCCGGCGACGAGTCAGAAGAAGAGACGCAAGCGGAGAAAGAGCGCAAGGCTGCATTCTTTGACTCCGAGTCTGGTCCCTCGGAGGCTCACACGTCCTTCCTCTCCATGAACCTTTCCCGGCCCATCATCAAGTCACTCACCACATTAGGCTTCACCACCCCCACGCCAATACAGGCCGCAACCATTCCAGTCGCGCTCCTGGGCAAGGATGTCGTCGGAAACGCCGTCACGGGTTCAGGCAAAACGGCCGCGTTCATCATCCCCATGCTCGAACGTCTCATGTACCGCGACCGGGGGAAGAAGGCTGCGGCGACGCGATGCCTGGTGCTCGTCCCAACCCGCGAACTTGGCGTGCAATGTTTCGAGGTCGGTACGAAGCTTGCGGCGCACACGGACATCCGCTTCGCGCTGGTTGTAGGTGTGTGCATCCGCGAGTTTCTCTGGAGTGTGACCATCTGCTCAACGTTCGTCAACCCTTCACGCCAGGTGGCCTGTCCATCAAGGCGCAAGAAGCAAATCTGCGAACCCGGCCGGATGTCGTTATTGCCACCCCTGGTCGTCTCATTGACCATATCCGCAACTCTCCCACCTTCACCCTCGACGCTCTCGATATCCTTGTTCTGGACGAGGCGGACCGCATGTTGGAGGACGGTTTCGCCGATGAGCTCACTGAAATTATCAAGTCATGTCCGACGTCTCGCCAGACCATGCTCTTCTCTGCTACCATGACTGACTCCGTTGACGAGCTCGTCCGCATGTCGCTGAATAAGCCGGTCAGGCTCTTCGTCGACCCTAAGCGTGCGACCGCACGGGGTCTGCTGCAAGAGTTTGTTCGTGTACGGGCTGGGAAGGAGGCCGAGCGTTCAGCGCTACTAGTCGCGCTTTGCAAACGGACATTCAAATCCCGTGTCATAATCTTCTTCCGGAGCAAGAAGCTCGCTCACCAGATGCGCATAGTGTTCAGGTTACTGGACATGAAGTGCGACGAGCTTCATGGCGACCTCAGTCAGGAACAGGTGAGACAGGTCCCACCCTTAAGCGGAGGCGCTGGAGCTGACCGTGTATACTTAGCGGCTGAAAGCGCTGCAACAATTCCGTGACGGACACGTCGACTACCTCATGGCCACAGACCTGGCTTCCCGCGGTCTGGACATTAAGGGGATCGAGACGGTCATCAACTATGACATGCCGGGACAGCTTGCTCAGTATCTCCACCGTGTGGGACGTACAGCACGCGCGGGCAAGAAAGGACGGTATGCCCGTTCTCCGACACCGGCTTCTCCGGGATTCTCATCGGGACACTTGACAGATCTGTCACGCTTGTGGGCGAAGCGGACCGCAAGATGCTCAAGGCGGCCATAAAGCACTCGTCCGGCGGCGAGGATCAGATCCGCCACCGGCAGGTCCCGCAGGAAGTGGTTAGCAAATGGGCCCAGAAGCTCGACTCGCTCAAGCAGGAGATCTCCGAAATCCTGCAGGAGGAGAAGGAGGAGAAACAGGTCAGTGCGCGGGCGTTCTATCCATTCGCATACGGCGTGCCTTATGCTGCTCCATTGACAGCTTCGCCAAGCCGAAATGGAACTCAAAAAGGGCCAGAATATGATTGAGCACGAAGCGGAGATCTTCTCGCGGCCCGCTCGCACTTGGTTCCAGACAGGGAAGGAGAAGGCCAAGGCCGAAGGTCAGTCATTTCAGGGATTCATTTCCCCTCATGCCCAAATAGAGTGATTCCTTGTCCATCAGCGTTGAGTAAACAACAGTACGAAGCTGGTTTTGACGCCGGTAAAAAGGGAAAGTCAAAGGAGCCAGCGCAGACGAAGGTACGTAAAATGAAGCCATCGTGATCCGGCCGCTGCTGACGGAGCGGCCCAACTAGCCGAAACGGGACAAGTTTGCGGGGCTATCGAGGCGGGCTAAGCGGAGGAAGATGGCGATGGAGGAGGATGCGGCGGAGACTGGGGCGATCCGTGCGGCAGTTCGTTCTGCCAAGAAGGCAACTCGACCCGCCAAGATTGGCGAGCCAGAGCGACGAACAACATCTTCGAAGAAGAGGGACAAGAAGGGGGTGCGATCGAAGAGCAAGACGAAGTCGAAAGGTGGCGCGTTCGACAAGGACTTGGGACAGCGGCCGGCGAGGGAGGGCGTGAGGGCGAAGAAGGGCGACGTGATTGGAGGCATGGGAAAGAAAAAAGGCGGAAAACGGAAGTCATAGGACCCTCCCTTGTATGATGTGTCCGGGGAGTCACCCTACCTGGACTTTGCCTCTCCGCATGCAGCGATCGAGGTCTTGAGTGGATTCATCGCCTGTCTGATGCATTGGGGTACCTAGCATGATGCACCCCAGCAAGTATTCCGTCAAAAAAACACTCTTACGTCGGTCAAGATTGCTATGAATGTTGTTGGACAACTCGCCCACGGAAAGGATCACGCTGGACTTTATGCGAGCAACATGGGAACTAAGCAAAGGCCGGACGCACATGAGGCCGCTCGCGATTCGGCGACGCGTGACATGTGTGACATTATCGTGACAAGACGCGGTTCTTAGGCGTCTTTGTAGGCGCGTATGGTGCGCCTCTTGCTCCGGACGCTGAACTTTGGAGTGAGTGGCACGGTGCCTTTCTCCGTTGAATGTATGCGCTACCCTCCGCTTCCATGATCTCATCCCCTGCCATCGGCTCAACGCAGAATTACCCAAAAACCCCTAGTTGTACATCGTGTTCCGCTGTAGCGGTGTGCGTTCGCCCTACAACTTGACATTGGCACCTACCTCCGATACTCATCCCTTAGTGGCCTCATTGACAGTGAAGAACGCAAGAATCCGGGTTTTTAGGTCATGCGCCCCCAGTTGCCTATGAATATACCTAATCTGATCCGCTATGCAATCGCAGAACGTCCACCTATGGCTACTACAATCGCTCCTGTGGCGACAATACAATTGCCAGCCGCCTCACGCGTCCTCCGCACATCATGGTGCCCAGACAAAGATTTGCTTGTCGTGACTACCCATGTCTCACATCAGGAAAAGATGACGCTGTATAAGATGCAAGGTTCAAAGAAATGGGAAGTCACAATTCAGCCTCAGTTGCTCGGCAAAACAGAAGCCGAAGTTGTAGGCGTTGCCTGGAGCCCGGACGGTATGAGCGCTCTACACCGAGGGTAATTTCGTTCTCACCAACTCTAATCGTAGTCCAGAGTATCGCAGTCGCGTCCAATCCACCCATGGTCTCGATACACTCTATTCAGGATGGCAAGGAAATACGCAGTTACCCCATTGAATTGCCTTACCACAAGATATTGGTAACTGGGGTTTGGTGGTTCCTAGAAGAGAAGAAGGTTGTTGGGAACGGACTCCCGGATATCTTCAAGCGAGGCGAGAACATTGTTGGAGCATTCTTACGAGCGACCGCTATGTATGGACGAGCTAACCATCATGCTTAGACTGGGTCCGCCCACGCCATACTCAAGGGTCTTCCGCTGCTAGATCCAGTACAAGATGACACAAGATCTCTTGGGTGAGCATTAGGCGCTTGTACAGCTATCCTTGAGATGATGCATGCTGAGAAGGTTTCAGGTCGAGTGAACTGTTCGCATTCAAAGGCGTCCGCAGCAAGTCAGCTCAAACCACGCATGTCACCCCAGGGAGCATTGACATCTGGCCACGCCTTCCCACCGACCTGGCTGCAGCCTCCATAGCGGCGAACAGGCCCGATGCCGAACATACATTTCCTGAAGCGGAGAACGAAGCTGATGATACCAATGTCAACAGCATCCTGGCCGTCGCCGACAATCTAGGCTACGTCCACTTGTTCCTCGAAGGGAGTTACCCCCTGGGTGCCGTGTCCATCCGGAGCAAGTTCTTCCCGAAGTCTCTCTACAAGCTCCGAGATCACTTCTTCGCCCACATTGGCCCTGCCGCTGCTGCTGCTGCTGACCCATCTGTCACACTCTTCCCCGCCGTCGTACAGCTGCCGTATCTCACGGGCAGGCATATGAGAGATGTAGCAAGGGTGTCGTCATCCGCTCGTGAGCTCCTGTCCTATGCGATGCGGGTGGTCCGAGACATGCGGGTGGCTTGGTGGGGCCAGGACGGTTCTCCGGGGGCTCGCACTTTGGGTCCAAAATGGCTGCGGTCTCTGGAAGACAGGCAGAAGAACGAGTTTGGCCGTGAGTTCTCAGGCATGAGCTATTGTCTACACCGTGTTCAGCCATTCTTCGCAGATGAGGTGGCCTACGCGCTGCTTGACCTGACGTGCTTGCTCACGACGGGCCGATCATCGGAGTCGTTGCTCGATTACCTCGGAAGTGGGGAGCATATGAGTGAGAGGGTATGTTTGCTGCTCGTCGTGGCTGTATGAGCACCGCCTCACCAGAAAACGACAGAGCATGCAAAAATGGGAGACGATCATGACGGACGCGTTAGTTCGGGTACGAGACCTCGCAGAGAAGCGGGTCGCTCCAGCCTGTCAGCGCCTATACTTGCTGCTGCAGGAAGTTCAGGGTTGGGCCGCCTTGTAGGCCGTGTATTCTCGATTCATGCATGCTCTTTCTGACACCGCCTCAGGCCCCAATATGCCGTATGCAATCTCAAGATGGCTGAGGTGGAGTCTTGCCTAGACCTCACCGCTGCTGTGATATTCAATTCCAGCTCACTTGCCGCGGCCTCGCGGAAAGAACTTCTACGCTTCAAGGAGTTCATGAAGTGGATACGTTACGGTACGTGGGTTCCGCGCTCTCGCGAGCTAGCCCCGTCTGATGTGTGCTGCAGAGACGGCGCGAGCCAACGCAACTGGAGACCACCATCACCACCGCCCCCAACACGACATCCTTGAGGTTAACGAGTACCTGATGTCTAGTCTTCGGGCTAGCCCGATCGACAAGTGGTTCACTGGCCTCGCAGCGCCGATCAATCGTGAGAACATAGGGGTGCCCAGCGAGAACTTGACCATCGAAGCTGCGATTGCCAAGGCTCAAGCGGCACTTGATAGCTGGGATCAAACCGTGCACGACGTAAGTCCAAGCCACTTACGTGCCCTCCACCCGCAAACTCTAATTTCCGCCATTCTGAATAGGACGTCGCACCTCGCGACCTCTCGCATATCGAACGGAACTTGGATAAGCTTCTGCTGACGCTAACGGAGCGCTGCAAGGCGATCTTTGACGAAGCTGCACGAGCGGCCGCACGCTCTGCAGTGCGCGTGGCCGAGTGGGGGATCGCTCCAACAGCGGCAGTCCCGGACACCCCGCAGTCAGCTGGGGGTGCCGCGGTCATTCGGGAGCGGACTGTGCCAGACGAGACCAAGGCAAGCGACTACGAGTTTTCAACGTGCCGTCGTTCTCTCACCGAGCGAGTCGTACAGCCGGACAATTTTATCCAATTTCTTGCAATCAAGCCACCGCATGACGGTGTGCGGTCCCATCGTGAGCACCCCGGGTCCCCCTTCTTAGCACACCTGCGCTGTTCCACGTTCAGTGATCGCTGACGTTGCCGTCGTGCTCTAGTCTGCGTTGTCCGGCTGCAACAGGGTCTGGGCGCTCTCAAGGGTGTTCCGACGGTCGAGGTTGCGGTACTGGAGTGCTGTGCCTCGGGGGAGGCAAGCGACGGGCCAGTACCTTTCGATCTCCTCGATTTCGACTTCTTCGATTCGGAAGTGCTAGTGCTCGTGTACAGGCCGAAGGATCAACAAAGTGAGTGCACCCAGCCCTCGGGTGTCCGCTGATGCGGCCGCTCATCCCGATCATATCGTAGCAGCCCGTATCGCGACGGTCGGCTACGCCGATTTAATGTACCACGCGATCCCGTCCCACGACTACGTAACCGGCACGCCTCGAAAGGCGCTGATGGAGGACGTGCTGAGGCGGCTGGCGAACGGACAGGTACGCAGGACGGTGTGCTACTCGTTGCTGTTGCGTGGGCGGACTGCGCGCAACGGTCGCGACGGCGTTTATGGATAATGTGCTGAACCATTTCCTTTTCAGGTTCCCTCGGCTCCCGCACCGATCATTCAGTCGCGAACGCTGGACGGGTGCAGGGCGGGGGGCGTGACGCTCGCGGTGAACGGCCGCAGTGGGCGGCGAGTGTCGTGCGTTCTGGACGAGGCGGGGCTGAGCTTGGAGGTGCTGGATATGGAAGGGGACGAGGAAGAGCTGGAGCTGGAGGAAGCGGAAGAAGACGAGGGATCAGGCTGATTGTCGATAACCGCGCGCCGGACGTGGGCTCGGGTGAGGGTCGTCGCTGGCATGCTGCAGTCGTGCGTGGCCGGGGGCATGCTAGTATGTAGCTGGCAAAACTGGGTTGTATATTGAGAGAACGGAATTGATTTGGTGGGTCGACACGAGGGGAGGCGACAGGCGCGTGGGAGTCACACGGCAGTGGTGTGGACCGGTTGGGCGGGCAGGGAGTGCTGGATGGGGCGTCGGTGGATCGGACCTGAGATGGAGAAATGAGGATTAGGCTCTGGAGAGGACTGATGGGAAAGGCGGGCGAAAAGATGGGGAATTTGGCGAGGGAGGGGAGGATAATTGGGCGATTGGGAGGCCTCGTGTGTTTAGGCCGCTGTGCCGCTCTCTCCCGGCTGCGTTCTCTTCTGCCCATCCATCCGAATTTATATCCCAAATCGTCGCCGCTGCCAGGCCCGGAGTCCGTCCTACATCGTCCTCAGCTGCCCTCTCTTCCGCTTCCCTCGCTCCCCTCCACCACCCGCCACCCCATGCCGCCGTCCCCCGACCCGAAAGCAGGCTCTGACGATGGCTCCTCTCGCGTCTCCGACGCCGCCCTCAGGAAGAAGAAAAATGCCGACGCCCAGGCCGCCTTTCGCGCCCGCCGCGCCAACTACATCGCGACGCTCGAGGAGACAGGTGCGCTCGCCCGTTGTACCCGCGCTACCTCCCCCCGCTGATTTGCCTCATCGCGCGCCCAGTCACCAACCTAGAGAGCGTCGTCCTCCAACTCCAGGAGTCATGTCGGCACACAGAGTCCCAGCTCCAGGAGATGCGCCAGGAGAACGCGCGCCTCAAAACCGAGCTCGACCACAAAGAGAGCCTCTTGAGGATGTACGAGCAGCAAAAGAAGGTCGATCGCGAGCCCCAGGACGACTACCCCATGTCCTCCTATGCCCCCGCTCGCACCCCGCCCGTCACCATGTCCGCGTCCATGTCTGGAGGCCCTGTCGGCAACTATGGCGACGACTCGATGCGCTACCCGTCCAACAACCACGCCTCCAGCTCCATGAACGGCGCCTCGTACCACAACCCCAATCAACAAGAATATCCCCAACGTTCGCCCGCCCTAGGATACGTGTCGATCGCGGGCAATGGCTCAGAACCTCGATCAATGCACGCTGACGGGAGGATGCCCCGGTACGACCCATATCCGTCATATCCTATCGACACCTCCAACCGTGACAGCGGTTGGGTGGCGCATCCGGGCACGGCGGTCAGCGACCCCGGTTCGATGGACAGTAACAGTGCCGCCCACTCTCCTACGTTCGTCGAGTCACCCACGCTCACGGCATCGGACATCTCATATCCGTCCCGCTATGGCGTGGTCGAGGACCAAAAGGTTCCACTCACGCCGCTCACAACTTCCCCTTATATGTTCGCCCCCAGCCGCTCTCTCTCCCCCGCCGCATCAACGCCGTCGTCCGCGTCATCGACCTCGATCGCCCCCGCCCCCGCCCCGTACGCGTTCACCTTCCCCGAGGGCACGTCCATAGCGGACAGGCCCGAGTTCTACCGCCGGCCACACGCGCCGGAGCTCACCCTGCACGGCGGCACGGCGGACGTCACCTCGATTCTCCGCATGAGCGCCCGCGCAAATCCCTCCTCCTCGTCTTCCTCAGCAAACGATCGCCCCGTGCAGGCCCCCTCGCCGTACTCCCGCGCCGACAACGGCTCGCACGAGCGCGAGAGCGACGGCGAGTCCTCCTCGTACACCTACTCCTCCCGCTCGCGCACGCGCACGAGCACCGTCTCCCGCACGTCGCGCTCGCCGTCGCCCGGCCCGCCGCCGATCTGTGGCACGCTCGCAGTCATCAAAGCGCAAGCGTTCGGCGCCCTGCGCAGGACCCGGGGCCGGTCGAAGAAGACGTCCGAGGGCGCGGCAAAGGCCGCAGTCGAGGCCCTCGCCGCGCGCGGTATCGGCGTCGCGAATCCTGCGAAGCGGCCGCGACTGCACGACAGCGACGGGGATCTGCGGATTTGAGGCTGCGGCCGCGGCCGCGTCCGAGTCCAGGATTGTCTATCTCGACGCGTATGCGCGCGCGACCGACGACTGGAGATTTATACGACTGAACGGGGACGATCGAAGCGCGAATATGAATATGAATCAAGTAGAGGCCTCCCACACTCATATGTACCAACATCTCGAAACAGCATTTTGCGATCTAGCTCTAGCTCTAGCTCTGCCTTCGGGACTCTGTAGACGACTCGACTGCCTGACTGCTACTTACACCATCCCTTCTCTTGCTTTGGCCCCACATTCACACCACTGTCTCCCTCCATGCACACAGCACGCCGTTACTTATTCGCTCACAACATGTTCTAGGTATACTTCATGTAGGATAATATTACATGTAATATAGTGTTGCCTGCTTTGCATGTATATATAGCCGCTATGCTTTCGTCCCAAGCCAATCCCCCTCCCGCTCCGTCGTCCGAGACCCCTGCGAACGGCCAGCGATAAGCGTCGAACGGTCGCCTCGCAAGTACGGAACGGGCTCCTTGACTGCGTCCGAAGATAGGCAGAAGATACCCCATCGTCGTATGTTTCCCACCAGAAGGCGCATTTGGCGCACGATTCCGACCAAAGCTTTTGGCACAAAAGAAGCATTCCTCCTTCCAACCAAACAAGGTTCAAGCTACGCCTCGGCCGAGTGCGAGCTGAAAAAGGGCACATTACATGTAGGTCGCCGAAATGAAAGACCGCCGTGGCTGTAGGGGGAAAGAGGTGGGTAACGCCGTGATATTCGGATAGGCGACTGTCTCGTGCACGTCAATGCGTGGGCGCGGGCTGTGCAGACGCAGCAGCGCGAGGCGTGAGACCGCAGGCCGCAGCGAGAAGGCCAAACAAGCCGTTCGCGAGATGTGGCGAACATGGCGGTCCTTGCGTGTCCACCAAATAAAGTCCGCATGTGCGCGCCGGGGGTTCTACAGAGTTCCGCGGGCTTCATATGCAAAGCGGCAGACGATCGAACGAAGCCGACAGGGTAGAGGAACGGTTAATCAAGTACCGTGAGACTTCCAGCGTCGGCTACCAACATCGTTCCAGAAACTCGGTGTTGTGCGGAGGATGGAACGGCAGAGGGCGGTTGGGACTGAACCACAAGACCGATGATGCAGGTCTGATAGTCTCCATCCACACTGGGAGAGCCCACGGGCGAACCGAGCGCATCTAGTCCATTCAATATGCCCGAACGGTCAGCTCTGCAGACTTGTGCGGCTTAGGCAAAGCGCATGCGCGTACCTGGTGATGAAGCACCGCACCAGTTCTATCCCGGACATCGACCCCCGAACGTGCCCCCCGTCATCCGCAAAATCATGTGCGACAAAGGGATAGCGCGCGACACTCAGATGCTGCTTCATCTCTTCTGTTCGCAATGAGGCCATCGGCGGACGTCGCGATTCAGCGGGTCACAGACATCCGTCGATTGACTTTAGGCACCGCGGGATCCCAAGTGCCCCTGATTTCACTGGCGGAAGCGCGTCAGCCACACCTTAAACGAGGCCGAGATCACCTAAATCGACACGCACTTCTTGTATTTCTGCGCCCAAACCAGTACGCCAGGCGCGACGAGTGTCACGAAGATAAAGCAAGCGATATAGATGTAGGCTGCGGTGCTTGATAGGGGGTACGTGAGGATAACCGAGAGCACGGAAATGAGTGTCGTGAGGATGACTTGCAGGGTTATTGCGCCGTCCTGCAGGAACCAAAACGCTGAAGTCAGAAGTGGGTTGTAGCACTATATGGACTATAGATGAACAAACCTGCATGCGGCGCCGAAGCATCGGGAAGAGTGCGAATGACTGCACAGAAAACAGGATCAACCCGAACACGGAGAGATCGTCCGACAGTCGAGAAGCAAGGACAACGGACGACGATATGGCAGCATTCATGGAGAGGACTGACGTCAACCTCAAGGCGAGAAGTCGACAGAATTAATCTCCTAGCAGCGTGGTTTATGACATAACCACATACCTTTCACGTTTGTGACCGCGCGGTCTAATGGCAGTGTAGTCCGCCAGCAAGGCGTTCAGGATAAAGAGGCACGCTGACAATGCCCAAATGGAATCAGAAGAGGTAGCAGCGGTCAAGGTCTTTAGGACCGGCGAAAGGGACATCAGCGCTAGGAAGACAAGTATGGAGGCCTTCAGCGTCTTTGCTCCTGAGCAAAACAACCGTGTCATTGAACATGTGCCAGAAGAATGCAGGGACTTGAGACGTACGATTGGTGTTCCGAGTGACTGTGTCTACGCTGCCTCGTTCAAGCAACTCCCATACGATATAACCTGTCAGAAACACCCCGCCAGATAGCCAAACAAGAACGCGAGGATCCAAAAGCCGCTGTTGAAGTCTCATGAAGACAGCAAGGAAAACGAAGATGCTCGCGAGGTGCTGGCTTATGGGACACGATAGAATAACAAGCTCGCGATAAGTATAGGGCTGGAAGTTGGCTGCATGTCCAACTTGCACTGAGAATATGTTCCAAGACATATCCCAAGGGATCTACTCACGATTCCTGCTGAGTGAAGCCAGAAACGAACGTGGAACATAGTTGTCAGGGTATGGCTTCTTCTTCCACAAGACCCGTTCCCATTCTGCTTCCCATGCCTCCGTGTACATTCATGAGACGTCGCGCAGAGTCCAGAACGCCGACCAGCGGTCGTGCCAGGCGTGCTTGACGGTGAACTGGAGCAGATCAAGCAGTCGTCGTCCGGAAGATCGTGAACGTGTAGGCTGAGTTTTGGAGTCATGGGCGTCTGCAAACCTGCCACGACACCGCGAGATGAGGCGCCCATAGAGGTCCTTCCCCGTACACAACTTGGATCTCGTTGACACATGCATGAATATTTACATATGACCAGATATGGCTGTTTTTTCTTCGTCGATGCACAGTACTTAGGTGGCCGGAGCTCGCTGCAGTATTCGTATAGCCAGTTGGCCCCGCTCGGGTGGTATCACTCAATGATCATCGTCATCCCAGCGGTAGATCCATGGGTGCTACGGGTGAATAATCTTATTATCCCAAAACCAAGTAGATGCAGTGTTCGTGGATACCAGCACACTCCCTCCGTGTTCTCGATGGACACACGTAGCGCCATAACGTGTGGGGTCCCGGTGTCGTCAGCCTGTCTACTTCCGATGCAACTCGTTATCGCGGGCGGCGGCCTCGTGGTGGTACAAAACGAACGCCGCACGCTTTCAAGCATTTGAAACAGCAACGGTCAGTCCCACTTTGAATGGCGTTGTCGTAAGCAACGGGAGCGATCAAGGGTACACCTGCCATGCACTCACCACGAGTCGCTCTGGCTGTTCCTGTTCCTGTGCGCGGGGCGAGGATTTCTGTGCTTCCAGTTTAGCAGCAAGTCGCCCCGCTGTAGGATTTTTGGACTGCACTCCTCGTGTGCTGGCCTGGGAGAACGCAAAACAACACAGATAACGTATACATGATTAGCTCGGTCGCGGCATGCTTCCAGGCAGCACGAACCTCTCTCTGCCGTCTTTCCGCTGCTTCCGCCGCTGCCCGCCTGGGGTCATCCGGGCGCGAGGGTGCAGCGGTGCTATCAGCTGCTGAACCCAAGACTTGGTGTCCACCAGTGACAGTACCCGACTTGGAACAAAGGGAGCCCATATGCCGAGTTAGCGTTCGTGTTCAAGCTGCATAAGGCTCAGAACTGCGCGTGTCTGCTTAACGATGCTTACGCTGCCACATTTGCCATCGGCTATTCCCAGGTTTGTGATCTCTGCATTCGTGTGTGGAGTGTCCGAATTCCCATATTTTCTATTCATCTCTCGAGGCTCGAGCAAGCTGCGTCGCAAATCCTGGAAAATCCGAATCAATACTACCAGAATAGACTAGCACAACATGTCTCATTCAATGGCGCCACTGCTATGGTAAGAATGCGGCATGCGATTGCCCGCGGGGGACACGTTTAGAGCAAGGGGCAAAGTAGGGTATGTGATCTATAATACAGCTATACCAAGAACATCCAGTCCAACCCTGAATAACGAGCTGATCCCCGTTAAGCTACTACGCATTCGGCGGCAAGTCGGACACGCCCACATAGGCTCCTCGGTTGTCTCGAGTGGAAAGGCTGCGGCCCGTCTCTCCAAGATGGATGTCTTCGGGCTGTCTCTGCGGAGTCCATGCCTGGCGCAGGACGGTGTCAGACACACGCAACAGTCGGATAATCCGACGAAAAGCGATAAAATGATACACACCTCCCACCACCGCCTACCTGTACTCCATGGCAGACTCGTGTCAAATCCTGCTTTCAGCATGCGACCCTTTATGCCTGCACCCAGGAGAAGACCAAAAACTGTGAGAAGGAAAAGAGTGACAACAAGCTGATCGCGAGGGGAATCCCTCTCTGGGAATAGCAAGAGTTCCAGGCAGACGAGAGGTCAGCCAATGCCATAAGGACTCAGGGTCGGCGGTACGCACGGAAACAACGAGCCTCGATGTCCCCCTCCTTGCCGGTCGCAGTGTCAGGGTTGGTGTCGCCGATGGACGCCCCTGCACACTTCGGTAGGTTCTGGTTGAGACACCATTGCTTCGTGCACGAGAGGCACGGCTTGCTCGGATCGTCGGGGAGATCCATTCGTAGAATGGTATAATTTGTGCCAAAGCAGATACCTAAGATAGACACTCAGCTCCTGCGACGGTAAAGGTGGATGTGAACGAGGAGAGGAAACGCACATTTGCAGAAGCTAGTTGCTTCCCATTTGTGTCCGAGGACTGCGCCGACAGATGGCTACTTCCTTGCGCATGAGTTACGGGTCCAGTCGTGAGCGCGGAGAAATAGTCCTCACAGAGTATACTAGCAGCAAGAGCAACCAGCACAACAATGGAGTTGTGCGCGACGTCGTACGAGACATGATCGCGGTCGTGAGCAGAGCTGAGAGCAGCGGCCGGAGAGTGCGTTAGAAGTGTTCAGAGACGCGCGTCTCGACTGTCCTTCCGCCGACCTCGACTACACTGCCCAGCAGGGACTGCCATTCCTTTCGTCGTGCACGCGCTCTAGTCTACTGCTGGCCTCGTTAATCTAAAGAATAGTCTCCTGGAATTAGAACGCGTGAACAGCTAGACGTCACTTTGACAACTGGGGATGGCGACGGAATTCGAGGATGTGCTCACGAACCAGCCGGTGGTGATTGACAACGTCCGTCAAGAGTACTACTGTTATAGGCGACCTCGTTCCATTCACTTACTTTTCCGTCAATTCTGCAGGGCTCTGGGACTATCAAGGCTGGATTCGCAGGACAGGACCATCCGAAATGCTTCTTCCCGTCTTTGTGCGTCTGTCCGGTCAGAACTGTATTGCGACGCGTACGCGTCGTATCTGACATCCACTTGTTGTGATCTAGTGTCGGACGGCCAAAACATGTCCGAGTAATGGCAGGGGCACTAGAGGGCGACGTCTTCATCGGGCGCAAAGCGCAAGAAGCCCGCGGACTCCTCAAGATCAAGTATCCGATGGAACACGGGATTGTGACGGACTGGGATGACATGGAACGAATATGGAGCTGGGTGTATGCTGAGGAGCTGGGAACTCTGAGCGAAGAGGTGCGTGGAATAACAATCGTCGTCGTGTACACCGCGAAATCGAACCTAACGTGCAGTCTTAGCACCCAGTACTGCTCACGGAAGCCCCGCTCAACCCGCGGCATAATCGTGATGTCGCCGCGCAGATATTCTTCGACACTTTCAACGTTCCTGCTCTATATATTTCCGTTCAAGCTGTACTGTCACTGTGAGTCAGCTCCTTGATCTCTCGCTATCCCGCTCAGGCTATATCGCGTGCAAAGGTATTCTTCAGGCCGAACAACAGGAATCGTTCTAGATTCCGGAGACGGCGTAACCCATGCTGTTCCTGTTTTCGAAGGCTTCTCCATGCCACATGCTATCCGGAGGGTAGATGTCGCAGGTAGGGACGTCACAGACCACCTCCAGCTCCTCCTAAGGAAGGCCGGTCACCACTTACACACAACCGCTGAGCGCGAGGTCGTGCGAACAATCAAGGAGAAATGCTGCTATGTTGCATTGAACCCTGCGAAGGAGGAGAAGGATTCACTAGGCCGGAGCGAGGAATTCCGTTTGCCCGACGGCAACACTGTTCAGGTACATCACGCAAACTGACGGTGCCTTCTGTCAGTACGCTCATAGTGTCCGTCAGCTCGGCCCCGAGCGATTCCGCGCACCGGAGATTCTGTTCAATCCCGAGCTGATTGGTCAGGAGTATGCTGGCGTGCACCAGGTTGTTGTGGACTCGATCAACAGAGTGGACTTGGACCTAAGGAAGAGCCTGTTCTCAAACATCGTGCTCAGCGGCGGCAGCACGCTCTGTAGAGGTATGTATCACCCGTGCGATCTCCTATCGAAATTGACATCTCCTTTGCCAGGATTCGGTGATCGCCTGCTAAATGAGGTGAAGAAACTTGCGCTAAAAGACGTCAAGATAAAGATCTATGCTCCCCCAGAACGCAAGTATTCGACGTGGATTGGTGGATCCATCTTGGCTGGCCTCAACACCTTCAAGAAGGTACAGCCTGCCTGTGATTCCTCTTATGCAACTGCCTCTCACCGCATTCGCAGATGTGGGTATCAGCTGAAGAATATCAGGAGGATCCGGACATCATTCACAAGAAACTGGGTTTCTGAGTGGTTTCTCAACTTCGTTCGCTCTTCTCGCAGGTTTGCCGGTAGACCATATCCTTTTTTGTCGCTATGATACCCGACATGTAGTGTGCAGTCCTAATGCTATCTTGCACGACCTCCATACAATCCTCCAATCTTCCGTTTCATCCTGAACGACGGCAAGCCAAGGTAGAAGCTCGACATAGTCGGACCGCAACGTAGATTATCCGCATGCGCATAATTGTCATGAGCATTGAAAAGCAGGGAAAGCGGGCATAAATGATAGGATACAGCTGCTGCAAACAACTTTTGCGAAGTGCGGATATGCATGGAGTGCAATGCGAGAAAGCCCTGAGATGATACAATGCGTCCAACCATTACTTGCCCTTTTTGGGGGGCTCGGCCGCCTTGACCTTCTTCGTACCGCGGAGCTATGGAGAGAGGCGGTGGTATCAGAGAAAGATAGAGAGGGGGACGGAGAGGTGTCACTGACCTTCTTCGCACGGTTCTTGCGCTCCTTGCGCAGCTTGCGGTTAGTTTTCGGTGGTGCCTGCGCAAGGCCAGACTATAGACGAATATACGTGGGTTGGCCACCACGATCTCACGATGAAGGAGGGGAACGGACGCACCCGAATCAACCGGTACTTGGGCTCGAACTTCCGCTGCGACGCCTCATCGTCGTAGATCAGACCGAAGCCTGTGCTCCTGCCACCACCAAAGACAGTCTTCAGGCCGAAGGTCACGACACGGGCCTTGTCGGTCTTGTAGATCTGCGCGAGCCGCTCAGAGAGCTCCGCCTTGGAGACGTTCGCGCGGTTGGGGTGGAGGACATCGACGATAAACTGGCGACGCGCCAGGAGGCGGTTCGTGATGAACTTGCGGGTGCGGATTGTTACCGGTGCTGAGGTGTCGGCCTGCATATAGAACGAGGGCGTCGAGGAGAGAGCATGACGGGGATTTGGAGGGGGGTAGAGCGAGTCAGACATCCATTATCCAGAGGGTCGATCAGGCGCACGAGTACATCCAGATGCCAGATGACCCATCCAGCCTTCTCCAACTATACTCCAGCCATTCCAACGTTTCCAACGGTCCTCCAAGGGCTCAGCAACACGATGGAACGACACTCACCATGGTTGGATGCCGGCTTTTGAGTCCTTTTACCTTGTCGTCGTTGGGCCGTTGAAGTTTGCCAGTGCCTGCTTGCCTGGATGTTGACCAAACAGGGCAATACAGTGATCGCCCGAGCCGCACGACAGACGCCCTCCCAAATACCGGCAAACAGCGGAGGAGCGCCAGGCGCTCGCACCGGTCCGAGTCCGTCTGCGGCCTCCATTGCCCTCCTGCGCACTGCGTTCAGGGCCACCTTACATCCTCTGGTTTACTGCTCTATCTATTCCCTCTTAATTTCCTCTATCCTGCACGCGTGAAGCGTAAAATGAGCATGAGCAATAGCAATAACATCCGTTCACACTTCGCCTCGTTCGCCGCCTACGTGAGCCGCCCCGTTCGCCAACCCAATGCTATTGTGCGCTGAAATGTTCCAACGTTCGTGCCTCCAGACTCCTCCCCCGGACGACCCCTCGTATCCCGGATCAACCAGCAGGGGTTCTTCGAGGGCATGGTTCCCTTCGGGGGCGGCCTCGGGCTCGCAGCAGCCGACGTCCTACCAGTCCGGCGGTATACCGACTTTCAACACCTCCCAGGCTGGCGGAGCGGGCGCGCTGGAGGACGCGGAGGCTGAGAACGTCAACAACTTGTGGGAGACGCGTCACGGGTTAAGAGTCGACCTGCTCGCTGCGTCTGCGTATCTACTGGGTCCGGTCTCTGGTGCGTGCTGCCAGCCTGTCTTCGTACTGGTGTACACCTCAATTCTGGATCGTGTTCTTGCGCAGCGCTGACCCTCCTCATTGTCGAGACCTACAACGACTTTGTTCGTTTCCACGGTACGTTGTATCCAGGTTATGCTGAAAGTTTTGCCACGGGCTGACCGTGCTATCAGCGTATCAATCTGCCCTGCTCACTACACCGCTTGTAATAATGCGCATATTGGCGTCTCTCCTCCAATTTTCCTCATTCCTCCGCACAATTTTTACCTTCTTGCTGATCATACCATCATATTACATGGCGTAAGTCCCCATAAACTCATCAGCCCCTAACCACTTGTTGAAGCAACGCTTCAGATGGCGAGCGTACGTGGATGCTTCACGAAATGGTCTCGTGCGGTTTCAGGTACCTTTTATCGGACCCTTGGCAGAACGTTGGGTATACGAAGAATGATGTATCCGCGTGTGCTAGTGCCGTATAAATCTGTCTTGCCACTTACATGCCCTTCCATGCAAACAGACCCTTAGCTATCTTTTGATCACTCCGTTCTCAGGTGTGTGGGTCCCGTTCCGCGTCTTCTGTACGTAGTCCTCCTGTTGCGCCCTGTGAGAGGAATTTGTGTCTTCAGGCGTGTGCCGCAGGAGCACTTCACACAAAAGAGCTAATTGTCATGGAGTGATAACATTGGACCAGCCCTTCTAGTGATGCGCTACAAAAGTACGAAACAAACATTGTCCATCCAGAACACACAACACGGAGCACGGCCACCTTGTCGCGTCACAATGCAGTGGTTCCGCGAGGTCTATGCTGGCACTACCATGATTGCTGTTGCTAGTGCGATGACTACGTTCAAGTCTGGTATCAACAGGTTGAGCAGCCCATCCGTGAGGTTCTCCGTGAGGTCGAGGATTTGGTCGAGTAAGCATTTGATTTCATACACGACTGTCTACGTGGTCAGAAGCTAATATCGAGCAATGACAGAACGCCCCCACTTACCGGGTCCTAAGATAGGCCCCAAAACAGGCAGGCCGTATACAATGGTAGTGATTGAACTCAACGCGTCCTTGGTAGCGTTAATCATGGCTTTCAGCGCATCCTCCAGTGGGTCGTTGGGGTCGTAGTTCGCCAGCCCTTTCTCCTGATCGCCCAGAAGCGTCCTGAACCCGAGAAGGTCGGTCTGATACCCGGTGACTGCACTGAGGACTTGTGCTTGATAGACGGGATCGTCGCCAGAAGTGGAAGCCTGAGATGCCAATCCGTCTAGGAAACGTCATGGGCTTGGTGGATCGGACAACGGAGAGCGTGGACACGCACCAAGTTCCGCAGCACTAGCTGTCAAAGCCGTGAGCGAGTCGTCTTGACGGCGTGCATAGGACGAGATAAAGGACGATGCGTGGTCCACTATCACAGGGTCCATGTCACGGCGCGCAACGGAGGATTCTTTTTCCAAGGGATCTTGAACTACGGTTGTGTAGTTTTTGACAGGAATGCGAGAGGCATAGTCCGCGACGTGAGGCATCAAAGGCATAGGAAAAGGTAGGGGTGTTGCCAGCGCAGAGAGTGGGGCCGAGACCGGGCCGCCGATTGAGACAAGGAGGGCAGCCTGGAAGCCAAAAAAGATGACCCGAGAGAGGACAGGCATGCTGGCGACTGGAGGACAAGTAAGGAGCGACTAGAAGGATAGACGGAGCCAGGAGACGCGGCTTGCGCGTATTAGAGAGATCAGTACGGTAGAGGCTGTAAGCTAGAGATGACGGAGAGCGGACGAGGTGTGCGCAGCGGACGGGGGGTTCGTATTGCAACCCCTCTTCCTTCTTATACTCCCTTTCTCGGCCTTCACACACAGACAGAACCTTAACCATCGCGAATCCGTGTCGCGATTGGTCCCCGCCGCGTGAAGGGCGCACACAGCCACAGCCATGCTCGGCAGCAGCACCCTGTTTGCCCAACTCTTACGCGACCTGCCGTGGCCTTAGCCAATCTTCTGATATTGCGCAATATTAGGTGTATGTAGGCCATCACACCTGGCAGAGCCATTCGAAGAACGAGAAACTGGGATCATGTTTGGACATACTAATGCTAAGTATGGCAACAGACACACGTCCCAATACATGATCAAACAACTCCCCACCTCCGCCACAATACCGTATAGTACGAAAGCATGAAGAGCACAAATAAATAAACAAGAGGGCGTCGTGTGTGTGGGGAGCGCGAACCGGTATATCAGCAGTACGGCAGGACGATGACCTATCCGACGCCGGAGTGTCAAGTATCGTATCAACTACGTGCTCAGCCGGATCGGACGAAGTCCACATCGAGTCAAAGTTCGGTCAAATTAACAAATGCGAGCGTGCGTGTCACCTCTTGTACAGACCAAGGAGCGTGATGCAGTAATGAGCGGCGTTTCTTCATGTTCTCGAACCAGTGTTCGGCGCTATTCGGGACACGCCCGTCGGACGGACGCGCGGTTCCCCCGAAAGCGTTGTAGGATGCTCGCGAGCGTTCAGACCTTGACGCAAGACTTGTTGTCGAGCGACCGGAGGTAGCCCTGAGCGCAAGTGAAGACTAACATGCGCGAACATCGCACCCTTAGCGCACTGTTTAGGGACGACAGATCGCAAAGATGGTCACGTACCGACACACTTCCCGGAATTGCAGCCGACGTTCCACGCGCCCTCGATGGCCGTGCAGTCCTGGCCCTTGCCGATCGACGCGCAGCCACCGCAGGACTGGAGGTCGGAAGCGGTGTCGACACACTCCCAGTCATCAGTCGACCCGGTGAGGCCAGCGGGCGGGCAAGCGTCCAAACCGGAGGGGCAGAGGGAGACGTTGCGCGCCTTGTGGTTGCGCTTCCAGCCATATCCGCCGCCGTGGCCAGGCTTGCTACCACCATTGCCAGGGTAGCCGCCACCGCTGCCGGGGTAACCGGGCTGGCCCGGCCACGAAGGCGAACCGGGCTTGCTCGAGGGAGTAGGCGTCACCGTGGTCGAGGTGCCGTGAGGGAAGCAGCACTTGGAGCCGCCGTCCCAGCCCCAGCCAGAGCCACACTGCGGGGGAGGCAGGTTCGGGTGGTTGGGAACGCAGCACTCGTAGCCGCCGTGCCAGTTCCAGTTGGACGGGCACGACTTGCCACCGGGGGGCGAGGGCGGGTTAGGGGAACCGCCATGGGGAAGACAGCAATTCTTTCCGCTCCAGCTGTAGCGCGGTTTCTTAGAGACGGTTGTTCGTCGCACGAGTACGAGAAAGTACTCACTAGAACTCGGAGCTCTTGCAGCTGCTCTCGGTGGAACTACCGGGAACGGCGAACGCGAGGGGAAGCGCGGCAGCGAGGACCAACAAGCGGGCAAAGAGGGTCATTTTCAATGATAGTAAGTGCCCCGTGGGCGGAGGGTGGAGGAGTAATGGGAGAGGGGGAGGGGGAGAAAGATACCAATAGGCTGGAAACAACAAGGGCGGCCGACGTCGTATTATATAGCGGCTCCATCAATATGAGCCTCAGAAGGCAGGACCAGAAGCTTCACGGTTCACACACATACGCGGCGGAACTGATATCATCCGTTCTTTCCCGGGCCATCAGTATCCGTCAAGAACATCTCTCGTTGACAACCATGGCTGCTTCCCGCAAATCTGCCAGTCGGTCTGGACTTGTCCCCGCCACAGAGTTCCTATCTCCCGTGCGCCGCGTTTCAGGAGAACACACATATGTCAGTCGCGAGGAGGGAGACATACACAAAGACGGAGCGAACCTGAGAAGGAGCATAGTCGATCTAGCTTGCCTGTTCGTACCTGGCGGCAGCGGCAGACAAGGGAAAAAGAGGCATAGAACGTTTCTGGCCGTATCGCTTGTCGAGATGTATCCAAATCCCTGGCTCCGGCTCCCATCACCCCGTCAGCAGAGTTATCTGTCAGGTCTCGTTCAGACAGCATGGGCTGCATCTGGACCGTATCAAATCCGGATGAGATTGCGACGGAGCTGGTTTGCTGGTCGCAGACGGTGACCGCAGTGCTCCACAGCCCCCCGCCCCACCAGATTGCTCAAACGCAACGATGACAGGAACAACAAGAGCGACAGAACGCATGAAGACCCGGGTGGTCGGAGCGCGCAGACGACCGAAAGAGCGACAAAACCGCGTCGCGATGGTTTCCCGGCGGTTGAACAGTTCCACACGCACGTCGTGCTGGCACAAACCCCGCATTTCCGGTGCGCCGTCACCATATCTCCTGACATCAATGAGGCAGCGGCCGCCGACATATGCCAATCGATAACTCGAGGACAGAGGGCCGCCGAGCTCAGCCGGAGCCGCCACAGAGACGAGCAGAGCCTTGTTTGGACTGATCGCATCCATATGCTTTCCGAGGCCTCCGGTCAGCGTTTGAAGGCACCGTCATAACTCAGTTCAGCACTCCCAGACGGACCGAACGGCCATCCTCGAGACATTTAGGAGGCAATGGGTTTGTCCGCTCGAGCCAAGCCCCGTCTAGCCGCTCCGGCACCTATGCCACAATTCTAACTCCTCGTAATATACATTTCGTCTTGTTCGGGAGCGCACAGAAATGGTCAAAAGGTATGGACAACGTGAAAGAAAGCGAGATCGGAGAGTGTCTGATGTTGACAGCTACTTGGTATCAGTCCCGCCCATTCCCTTCACTCGCGGCCGTCGGTCAGCTTCTGTAGCCGACCTACGGAAGAAACTGCGTCGATGCACTTCAGGCTTCTAGGGCTTGTGATTTCGCCAGCGCGCGTGAAGCGAAGAACCGGACATCGGCGTCTTGGTCATTCTTGAGCGCGTCGAGGACGGGAGCGATCTTTGTCTGGACCAGGTCGCGCCCCTCCGGCGAATCACCAAACGAGGTGGCAATGGACTCGAGGGCTTTTGCGACGTTGAACCGGATGTTGGGGATCGGGTCGCCGGCTAATTGGAGAAGCATGTCGAGGACATTTTCACGCACAACGTCGAGCGTCAGGGAGGGTGCAATGGTCTGACATTGATCCATCAGCTTCGCTGATAACGGAAGATCGCAGATGTGCAACACGTTTGAGAGCACTGACCATGATTGCTTGCACCGTAGTCATGCGATACAGGTAGTTGGGATGTTGACCCATGCCCACTACCTTCGGGATGATCTGTTCCCTCGACCACTCAACACCGAAAACCTCGGTCAGCTTCTTGAGATTGACAGCGGCCGCCTCGCGGATGCTGTAAACATTGTCGCCCAGCCACGACATGCACAGGTTACCCAGCGACTCGTCGAAGAAGGGCTTGCCGAGCTGCGTCGCAAGGAGGGGGATATATTCAATGATGGCCTGGCGGACGCGCCACGATTTGTCCTCTGCCAGCTCCACAATGGCCGGCAGGAGGCTCTCAGACAGAAGCTCGATTCCGATCACTGATCCGAAGCCATGAGCAAACTCGGCCCACTTGACTGCAGCAACAATAGCCACTCACCGGAGTTAACGAGCTCAAGCTTGCTGATGATATTGAGGCGGACCTCTGGGAACTCGTCCTTGAGAAGATGCAGGAACAATGGAAGCAAGTGCTCAATGGTAGCGTCCTTGCCCAGCAACGGTGCCAAGCCACTGATTTGGTTGGCAAGCGCAGCGCGAACGTGTTGTGAGACGTCCTGACAGAGGTCTCGTACGCATGGGACTACCCGGGCAAGGACGACTTCCTTCTCAAGTAGCTTCGAGAATCCTGTCGAGCGCGAGTTACAGATTTACGGAATGGGCGGTGACAATATATTAAGAAGACGTACCTGGAACTTGACCTGCAGCTGCAGTCCGTACCTCCGCCTCGTTATCCTTGAGAAGTTGGACGAAGTGCCCAATAAGCTCTTCGCGCACAAGCTCCGTGCCAACGACCTCCGCGAGCTTGATAGGAGCCATTCCCAACACGCTGAGAACGCTTTGAATACGAGAAGCGGGAGACGTCGTACCTCGTTGAAGTGGCTCGCGGCCATGTACCGCACCCTCCAGCTCTTGTCCGTCATCGTCTGCCGAATCTGCTTCAGCAGCTGCTCCTTGATCTCCACAGGCGATAGCTGCTGGGCGATCGCGATCAGGTCCTCGACAGTGAGCAGGCGAACGGAGTCCTGGTCGTCGCTCTGGAGCTTCCTGTAGATCACCAGCCCGTCGCTTAGAACGTGCGGCTTCGAGAATTTCTTCACCAGGGGCTACGCGTAGATCGGTCGCAATCAGCATCCGCAGAATGCGAGTAGCACGAGGTGTGAGTATACGGAAGCTACGCACCGCGAGCCACTTCGCCGATGCCCGGCGGACCATGGGCGTGTCGTCTGAGGCGAGGGCGGCGAATGCCCGGCGAAGTTCATCTTGAATGGAGGTCGCGACCTTGTCGTATACGGGCGCATATAGAGCGCAGGCCGATGTGCGGGATGTAAACCACTCGCCGCGCGACAGTCTTTGCACAAGAGGGATGTAGTACTGCTCGATCTGCTCCTGGCTGAGGACGGCAGAGATTTTGGTGATCGACTCCGCAGCCTGGAAACAACGAGCTTGAGCTTGTGACCACAGGTCGAGCACACGTAAAGCGACATGGCTGTGGCATCACGGTAGCCATGGGATGCTGGAAGACGGCATACCTTGTCCCGCACAAGCGTCTCCTCCACCGCGGACAGGTTCTCGAGCGGGCCCAAGAGCACATGCGCATACTCCGGACCGCCGATGTATTCCTCGAAGTTTCGTCCCAGTTCCTCCGCTAGGGCTAGGAGGACCTCGTCCTCGTCGTCGACCGAGTCTTGAAGGAAGGGTATTAACTCGTCGCGCGCGCGTTCCGGGCCCAGCGCGAGGGCAATCGTCGATATCCGATGAATAGCGTTCAATCGCAGCTGGACATCTTCCGACCGCAGCTCATCCATGAGGATAGCAATCGGAGCAATCTGGAAGTCACAAGGCGAAATGTTCAGCAGCAGACCCGTGCGTGAGTGGGGTGGAGACAACGGACATCATCTAAGGATGTATTTGGGTCCATGTTGTATTTGCTAGCTGTCCAGTTGCAATGAGGCGAAGTGTGCTAGCACGTAGGTGGTGAAGGTGATATGCAGGCAAGGCAGAAATGCTAGCGAGACAGCGGGGCAAGAGTGCGTCGAGTACAGACAGAATGAATGGATGGATGGTTGGGGACCTTGTTTAGGCAGCTATCGCGCCGCTCCATCCTCGTGCGACCTCTTGGACGGCGCCTATCACCCCACACCTTGCGCGCTTCAACCGCATTCCTTTCATCTGCCGTGAATCCAGAAAAATGACTGTAGATGCAGCCTTTACTAACAGTCTGATCAACAAATACAACCAGACGAACTTGGAGACAACTCCAACGACGACACCGAGCCACCTGCCTAAAGCACACCTTCGAAAGTACAGCAACGAAAACAACAAAATATATTGACCAGTTTACAATACCTACAAAAGGAGCCACACTACATATGGACCAACCACGCAAATCTGCGTCACGAAAACACAGCTAGCGGGCCAGACTCTCCGCGAAGGAGAGGATATTCCAAAAATTGTGCGGACATTGCAGAGCATGCACGAAGCATGCCCCGTTAGTCGACAAATTGTCAACGCCGCTGTAGAACGCCACTGCGGTGATGTCCTACCATGGTGCTTGAAGGTCAGATGGCACATCCAGCGGGCGACGCGCGGCGTCTCCCCGGTCTGGAACAAACAGTCAGTATCGCCATACCGCACAAACAAACCACCGACTTACCCGAATGCGCGCTGCCGACCTCGACACACCATCGAAGAAGGGAAGCGAGAGGGGGACGGACCCGCGCCTTCCCGAGCGTCAGTGCACGACACTAGGAAGCATCGAGCACTTAGCCCGAGTCACGTTTGCGTCGAACGGCAAGAGCACAAGGGCTCATATGAGCAAATCGCTCGGGATGAGCATAAGCTCGGAGAGCGCGTCCGGCTCATAATGAGCTTTCAGCTCGATGAGCGTGTCCAGCTCGAATTGAGCTTTCTGCTCGGGTTAAGCTTCTTCAGCTTGTTCGGAGCACAGAGGCTCGGGCAGCGGTGTTCGCGCCCATGCGAGTCGTCGTCAAACGACGCCGGATCGCCGGTAACGCCAGTAGCGACATCGTCCGTCGAAATTCGACTAGGGACTCCACTGCTGTATGCTTCGTGCAACCGCCGAGGTGGATGCCGAGACCGCGAAAGATGACTGAAAGGTCGTCCTCGTACGTCTCGTGTCGAAGCGGCCAACCAGCATTGTCCAATCCGATGTTTGGGCTTCCTAAGCCGATGTCCCAAGGCGCGCCGTGAAGGCGCACAAAGCCCTCGATAAACGCACGAAGCGTCCTCGTGAGGCTGCAAGGGACGGGCAAAGTCGGCAACTGAGATCGTCATGATCTTCATCTCGTCTGCGCTCGATAGCGTCCTGTCTGACTGGTTCGATTCCACCGTCCTACCCGGAGGACAGATCGTTCTATCTGCCGCTGAAAGCGGGAATCTGAGGTACACTCGCGACAGTCGTGGTCTTCACGACAACCGTCCGGGATCGGGTCGCAACCATTGTCCGACGTAGAGCGAGGTCCAGTCCAATAGGTCCAATATCCATGGGTCCAATCACCATATGGTGCATGCACGTGGTCCTGAGTCTGCAGAGCTCGATAGGTCAAGAGCAGCAACGCAATTGATTTCATTTGCCTATCCTCATGGTGTACGTCTCGTGACCCCTCTTGCGAAGGGCCGGGGGTGCCGATAACGATTCAGAAGCGACTCGCCTCGTACACCCGGCTCGAAACAACCATGCTCGAAGTCTTTGTGTGTGACAGCGACGCGTTCCACGAAGTCCGGTATCGTGTTGAGTATCGGGTATCGTGCAAGTTCGAGACGCAAAGCGCGAACGTGAGATGCAAGCGGGATGACGAGAAAACCCGTTGCCATGCAGTTCAGGCGAGGCGATCAGCCTGCCCAAACCAGAGGCGAAGCGTTGCTCCACCAAGAAACGAAGGGCGCAAGAGCGAAAGTTCCTGTCCCGCTGCGAGTACGGGTACGAGTGCGGAACGGGATGTCGCCCATGTAGACAGTAACGAGAACAATAACAGGGGATGGACGGGAGGGGAGGAAGGGAATGAGAGAAAGCGAGAACAAACGACATACACTGAAACACACTTATGTAGCTAGTACCACGAGGTTTAGGGCAGGTTGCGGTCTTGTCCGAGATCTGAAGGTCACACGGGATCACATGAGTGTCACAGGAAAGGTAGCACCAGAGCGATGTCACAATGACGTAATCATTCACGAGTGGGAGGAAGTACTTGGCCAGGCCGGTCGCGCAGAGAGAACGCAGATATATATCCTATCCCTCGGTTCACATCGCAGACCCGACAAGAGAAAATACGCTTTGTCCTCAACCTATCATAATCATGCCAGTTGAAATTCGAACGGATCGTGTTGTTCTCAAACATCCCAAGGTAGCTCTAGATCTTCACTCGCAGTCTCGTATCGATGGAGCTGAGACGCAAGCTGCCATCAGGGTCCTTCCGCAGAGATATTACTCTATGGTGCGACTGTCATCTCATGGAAGTCGGCCAGCCACACCAGTAACGAACCGGTCGAACGGCTATTCGTGTCCGCGAAGGCTGCGCTAGACGGTAGCAAGCCTGTGCGAGGAGGTATCCCCGTCGTCTTCCCATGCTTCGGCGCGCCCACCCATCCCGACCATTCCAAACTCCCTCAACACGGGTTTGCACGCAACAACGTCTGGACCTATGCTGCCACCGTCCTGGACAACGAGGCTGGTGTGTCTGTAAGGCTCAGTGAGTGATATGCTGCCCATACGTGTAGCATGCGACTCACCTTGTGTTATGTAGCCTTGGAGCCGAATGCAACGATCCAGGAGCAATATGCACACCCTTTCCACCTCGCGTACGTGGTCACCTTGGCCGAACACGAGCTTAGCACGGACCTGCATGTGAAGAACAATGCACTTTCGACGACCCCGCCTATAGAGTTCCAGGCACTGTTCCACAACTACATCCGCGCACCTTCTAGCGACGTCCGCGTTTCACCTCTACTAGGCCTCTCGTACTATGACAAAACCGAGGCGACCGAGGAAGCACGGGCGACTCCGAAGAAGGAAGTGAGGCAGGCCGTAGACGTTCTCAGGTTCACCGACTCTGTGTATGAGGATGCACCAGGGAGATATGACATCCTCTGGGGTAGTGGAGGGATCGAAATTGTGACGAAGAATTTGAAGGATGTCGTCGTTTGGAACCCGCAGGCTGAGGCTGGAGCTAAGATTGGAGACATGGAGGAGGGCGGATGGTATGCTTCATGAACCTCAAGAGGACGTGTGACTGACGGACGCACACAGGGAGAAGTACATCTGCGTTGAGCCTGGCCATGTCCGCGGATATGTCAAGTTGGAGGCAGGTCAAACCTGGATTGGCCAACAGGTGCTGAAAGTCAAGGTCTGAACTTACAAGTTGTCGAGTAGTATGAGAAGTCACAACTCTAGTGCACCCGTGTACTTGTAGCATATCCGAAGCAGCCTGTAGTTCGTCCTGTGGCATGGTCCTGCGCGTATAGCTTGTCCTGGGACCTGAAAACGTTGGTGGAGCCTGAGGAAAGCAGCAGCCGACGAGGGCGACAAACGCGCGCACGTGGGACGAACGCGTCGGAACGCGCTATGTTTACGGCAGACGTAACCGCGGGCGGAGTGGTGAACTCAGTCCCCTGTCCATCTCCGGCTACTACCCCCACGCTTGTCTGTACATATACTCCTTCTTGGTCTCTCTCTTGTATATCACGGCTTTGTGACTCATGGAACGACCTTGACATGTCCTCTCAGACACCCACCCTTCGTGTTAGAATCAACCAGATCGACTACGCCATGTCCGCGCCTGGACCACTCGACAACTCGAGCCTCTACCGTGTGCCTGTCATACGGATATATGGCGACTCTTCGATCGGGTTGAAGGCATGCTTGCATGTGCACCAAGTGTACCCATACTTCTTCGTGGAGTATCTTGGCAAGATGAACCCGGACGTCGGTGCGTCCGAGCACAACCACATATATTTTGACGCTTTCGTGTCTCAATGGGGCTTCAGTCAACCGCTACGTTACGAAGCTCAAGCACTCGCTCAACCACGCCATTGCCATCTCTATGAAGCGCAACCCGCAGTCGCCAAAGTCCCAGTTCGTCCGCGCCGTCGTCCTGGTGAAGGGCGTGCACTTCTACGGCTTCCACGCCAACTACTCCCCCTTCCTCAAGGTCCACATCGCTGACCCCGCCTACGTCAACCGCGCCGTCACCATCATGCAGTCAGGTACGATCATGAAGACGCGCTTCCGTGTGTACGAGAGCCACCTCTCCTATATTCTCCAGTTCCTGTCCGATTTCGGTCTGTACGGCTGCGGTTGGATCGACTTGGGCGAGGTCTGGCAGCGCGGAAAGGACGAGCTCGCAGAAGACGAAAATGTTGATCCGGAGCTGGCTAACGCTCTGGGCGAGTTCAAGAAGTCCTCGTACCACCGCCAGACGCGGATGGCTCTGGAGGTGGACGCGGCCGCGCACCAGATCCTGAACCGCCACAAGCTTCGCGCGCGGAACATGCACCACAAGCTCACCATCCCCGCGCCACCGCTCCCGCCCGAGCCACTCGTATCAAGCGTGCGCGAGCTCTGGGAAGACGAACGACAGCGGCGGGTGGCCAAGGGCCTGACTCCTTCCCCTGAGATACCGAAAGACCCGAGCGCGAACTCGCGCGGCCCTGGCGCGGCCTGGGTCGCGGAGGCACGCTGGTGGGAGGAGATTAGGAAGCGAATCGAGCGCGAGCGTGGGCGCGAGGTCGTGCCTCCGAAGATGTTATGGGAGAGGTGGGTCATGACCACCTTCGAGAGCGTCGAAGCGCTCTGGGAGGACGAGTACAAGACATGGAAGCCACATGGGAGTCTAGGCAGTGTCGGAGACGGTCTCAAGGAAGACGGCCCTACGGTGGACGAAGTGAATCCGTACTTGTCCTCGCAAATGCCAGCGTCTGGCAACGTCTCGGGCTCCAGCGGTGCCGACGAGCAGGCGAACGACGACGTTGAAGTCGATGAGACCATGCTTTCGAGTCAGGACATTACTCGTCTGATGGAGCGTGAGGAGGCTGAGTGGCACAAGGAGATAGAGGGTCATTACGACGAGATAGATGAGCAATACCCGGAAGAGGACGAGGAGGCGAATGAGGATGGCCCACCGCCGGATATCCGGTCAGAGGCCGGGGACGCGGGGGAGAGGTGCGCTATCCGTGTGTCTGCAATCGCAATATACTCAACCTACTCTATGCGCCGCAGTTCGAGTGATCCGTTCGGAGCTTCTGGAGACGCAACTCCTTCGAAATCCATGACAGGAAATCAATTCAAGGATATTTGGTCGAAGATCGCAAAGTATGGGAGCATCTGCAACGACGTTGCCCGATGACCGGGTCGGTGCTGAAGTAACGCGATTCCAGATCTTCCTCAAGGCATCGCTCCCAGTCTGTACTCTCAAACGGACCGAGGACTCCCACTAAGTGAGTCCGCCCAGCCCAGCCGATAATGCCTACTGATCTACCAGCAGGGTAAAGCTGACAAGTCGTTCTGTATGCGAAGACTAGTGATGACACAAGTGTATTCTAGTCTCGTCGGTACACCCCCAGCTGGGCCACTCCGGAAAAAGCTCACGAGTCCCCTACGTCAAGCCAAGTTCCTGCGAAGAGGCCGTTCTCGCCCGCAAGCAAGGATCTGAGTCATCTCAATTCACCCCGGAAAACTCATTCGTCTCGCGCAATCTTCCATCCCCTACCGGCCAACCTCGTAGAAGATGAAGTGGTACAGCAACTGGATACGAGAGTTGCCCAGCCTCGATATGAAGCCATCGCTGCCGACGCGGACACACGGCCGGCTAAGCGACGCAGGCTGAGCCCTCCAATCCCCGCAGCGGATCTACCATCCGGTTCTAGTTCAAGCTCGTCGTATCTCCTGTCTGGATCCTCCCCAGGGTCTGGTCTCGGTTCTCAGGCGATGATGCTTTCTCCTGCAACAGCTTCGCTGTATCACGGTAACAACGTCTACATATACGGCTGCCGCCCTCCTACCTCTGCCGAGCTCGTTTCCAGTACAGACCAGTACGGCATTCCCAGCAAGATCTATCGTCCACCCCACTACTCGAAGGAGAACGATGCTCCCGAACGACCGCGTGAATATGCAGGCCTAGTCTTCCATTTGAAAGGCGGCGACGGCGTCGGCATTCTGGAGGAATGGCAGAGCGGCGAAGGTGTGCCATCCGTCAGCGGCGAGCCCGCTAGACCGCTTGATCCGACGGGCGTAGGAGGATGGGAATACGCCAGTGCTCCGCCGAGCGTGCGACAGGTGCGCAAGTGGCTGAAGGAGCAGAAGGGAAACACCGCCGCGCGCTCCGCACCCACAAAGAATTCTTCGCAGGTGCTTGTGATCCTGCTGCTGAAACATCATCGTGTTGACGTCACCCTTCTAGATCGAAGGTCCGACGCAGGCAAACCCTTATGGGCTGCAGAGCACCCTTGCGCCGCGGTCTGACAAGGCGCAGCGAGTACGGCAGAACATGACAGTTCTGGCGCTGGAAGTCTTCGGTCAGTCGTCAACCAAGCAGGTTTCATGTTACACCAGCTCAACGGATCGTATGCATAGCTCCATCCAAGGATGATCATCTCCCGGACCCAAACGACGACGAGGTTGCTGCGGTGTTTTACTCCTTCCAGAGTCATGACCGAGACGCTGTGGAGCCCTTCACCTGCGACTCCGGCATCATTGTTGTCAATAGCGATCAACTCAACCCTCGACGCCTGCGCAACGTCAAGGCGGAATTCGTTGACAGCGAACTCGATCTGCTGAATAGGCTCATTGACGTGATCCTCGACCTCGATCCGGACGTCCTCTCCGGGTGGGAAGTGCAAGCTGCATCCTGGGGTTATCTCAGCGCTAGGGGGCGTAACTACGGTAAGTATGGGATGATGCTCCCCGTACCCATCTCTCGTTGCTGATGCATCGTCTAGGGTTGGACGTGGGTGAGCAAATATCGCGGGCCCCTGGGCGGACCTCGGGTGGAGGTTATGATCAATGGGGTATGAAGACGACGTCCACCTTCAAGGTCATCGGGCGCCATGTTCTCAATCTGTGGCGCATCATGCGCTCTGAGCAGACTTTCAACATCTACACTTTTGAGAATGTTGTATTCCAACTATTGAGGCGACGGTGAGTCCTACGCCATCTGTGCAATTCTATTTTGCTAATGTTGCTCGTAGGACGCCGTGGTATAGCCCGCGAACCCTGACGGAATGGCACAACAGTGCTGTGCCAGGACATACCGATCGGGTTCTGCGCTATTTCGCACGCCGGACATCAATGGTGCTGGAGATGTTGGATGTCGCCGAGGTGGTCACGAAGAATGCGTAAGTTTTCCATCGTGAAGAGCATGAACATCGCCTGATAGCTCGATATAGCGAATTTGCGAGGGTATTCGGTGTCGATTTCTTTTCCGTGCTGAGTCGGGGATCACAATACAAAGTCGAGTCGTTCATGTTTCGTATCGCCAAGCCCGAGAGCTTTGTACTCCTATCGCCTAGTAAACAAGACGTCAGTGCCGGTTTGTCCCTCGTAAAGCAAGCTGACGTCTTTCCCCCTCTAGGTTGGCAAGCAGAACGCTGCTGAATGCATGCCGCTAATCATGGAACCTCTTTCTGCCTTCTACAGCAGCCCACTTGTAGTCCTAGACTTTCAATCACTGTATCCCTCCATCATGATCGCCTATAATTATTGTTATTCTACATGCCTCGGACGCATTACTGACTTCAAGGGAACATACAAATTTGGCGTCACCGATCTTCGCCAACCTGCCGGTCTCCTCGATACCCTACAAGAGCATATTAATGGTGAGTTTATACTTGCGTCACTGTTACCATGAACGTATCTCAAGATTCCCTGTAGTCGCGCCAAATGGGATTATGTATGTCAAGGAGAGCGTACGCAAGGGATTGTTGGGGCGTATGTTGACGGAGCTGTTGGAAACGCGGGTTATGGTCAAACAAGCGATGAAGGGCGCCAAGGATGACAAGGTAGGGATAGGTACTTCTCATGTGCGATCTACATGTCTCAACTGCCGTAGGCTCTCCGCAGGATCCTTGATGCTCGGCAGCTCGGCCTCAAATTCATCGCCAACGTCACTTATGGCTATACAAGCGCCACGTTTTCGGGTCGTATGCCTGCGGTCGAGATAGCCGACAGCATTGTCCAGAGTGGCCGGGAGACCCTGGAGAAGGTCGTGTACAACAGCCGTTCGTACTCCTGCATCGAGCTCTGAAACCAGCTCCTTTCAGGCTATTCGCATCATCAACTCCACGACGAAGTGGGGTGCGAAGGTCGTATATGGCGACACGGACTCATTGTTCATCTATCTTCCGGGAAAGACGAAGGAGCAAGCTTTCCGCATTGGTCAAGACATGGCTGATACGATCACGTTAATGAATCCGGCGCCAGTCAAGCTCAAATTCGAGAAGGTAGGACAATCCTCCTGCGATCACACCGTCCATGTGATCTGAGGGATAGGTGTACAGGTCTACTTGCCGTGTGTTCTGATGGCAAAGAAGCGTTACGTCGGCTTCAAATTCGAAAACCCGGATGACAAAGAGCCTGCGTTCGACGCTAAGGGTATCGAGACGGTCCGTAGAGACGGCGTCCGTGCGCAACAAAAGATGACAGAGACCTGCTTGAAGTGAGCATTTTGTCAAGTCTGTATCCTCTCTTGTAATGTCTTCTCCAGGATTCTCTTTCGGACCCAAGATCTTAGCCAGGTCAAAGAATACTGTTGCCGAACGTGGGGCCGAATTCTGGAGAACAAGGTTTCCGTGCAAGACTTCATATTCGCAAAGGAAGTTAAAATGGGCACTTACAGGTTTGTCGGCATCCTTCTCTATATGGGATGCTTTGAACTCATGCCGGTCGCAGCGACAAAGTACCGCCTCCGCCTGGTGTAACCGTCGCGGCGCGGCGGATGCTTGAGGACCCCAACGACGAGCCGCAGTACGGTGAACGCATACCCTATGTGATCGCTCGTGGTGAGCCTGGTTCTCGACTCGTGGACCGCGCCATATCACCGCACGAGCTATTTCGAGACAGGTGATCCCTTCTGCTTCAGCTGATACGTTGAGCATTTGAACGCTGATCGCAACTCCGCAGCCACAAACGCCTGGACGCAGCATATTACATCTCGCGTGTTTTGATCCCTCCGCTGGAACGGATATTCAACCTCGTTGGAGCGGACGTGCGCAGTTGGTTTGACGACATGCCGAAGAGCTTACGCGCCGACCAGCCCGATATCACATTTTCTCCAAGAAAGAACAAGAGGAACGTCTTGGTCGCGAATGCCCTCAAGATCGATGATCATTTCACTAGCTCCCAATGTCTGATTTGTGGCAGGTTCACCCCTGAAGGTAGGCAGGCACGATCCATCATCGTCTCTTGATGCTTGATACTCAGGTCCTCGCAGCGCTGTGCGAGCTTTGCCGCTCAGATTCCGCATTGACGATGAGCGAGTTGTTATCTCGGATGCGGAAAACGGAAGCCAAGCTGAAAGACGTGCACCTTGTTTGTGGTTCGTGTTGTGGTAACGCCCCTGCAGAACCTGTTCAATGTGAGTCGTTGGACTGTCCATGGATGTACGAACGGAAGAAGTTGGAGAGCAAGGCAGAGGCTGTGACGACTATTCAGGAGCTGATTGAGGAGATAGCGGATGAATGGTCCGAAGAGAAGACGAGTAGTATTGAGGATTCCGGCTCGGACTCTGGGGACACTATTGTAGCATAAACACGCAATGTTTCCCATCGGAATCAGGGGGTAACACTACCTTGACATATTGCTTGTTGTAGTACCCCCTCTATAGTTATCGCAACACATGGAGATGTATCAAATACGACGACAGACTACCTCCGTGTATCCTGCTTGTTCGAGCCTCGCAGCTTGGGTGGCCGGGAGGATCGAGGACACAGGTAGCGTCCTGTATAGCAAGGCGGGTAGTCGGGCCGAAACAGTGCGCGCTAGCCTCTGGGCTCGACTGCGGGGCCCAGCACCGCACACGTACATCCTGTTCTGTTTTACGCCTCGTCTGCTTTCTGAGCCCGAACCGACTAGCGAACGACCATGGCGGACTTCATCCAAGCATTGGATCCTTCGAAACTCGCCATCGTGGGCACCGTACGTCTGTATCGAGTTAACCCTCAGGTTCGCATGTTGAATGTCTTGCGCTCTCGCCCTAGGCCATGTCCTTTGTGACGAGCGCATTCGTCGCCCCAGTGTATAACCTCCCGATCTTTCTCTTTGGCGTCCTCTCGCAGGAAAGCTCTGAGGCAATCCAGTCCTTGCGAGCTGTACGTGTTCCTATTATTCACGCACGAGATGTGCGCCTGCTCACCCAGAGCGCGCATCCCACTCTGCAGTTCACCTTCCTTCTCGGGGGCTCAATACTCTACGACATCATCTGGATGTCAAACAACTCACAGCACTGGTTCGTGAGGCTACTAACAGTCCTTCTCCTGATTCTGAAGGTGCGTGATCCTCACGTCGAACTTGGGACCAAGAGGAGATGGTGATTGTCCTGGACTTAGCTCCCCACCATATTCGCTTTCGCGACCGCTTTGCGCCAACGCGGGGGCTCGTTCTCCGGTCTGAACATCCGCGGGAACGACCTCTCTGGCGCTACCGGTGAGTAATACAGACACGAATTTGCCTCGGCATGCATAACCCTGCTACCAGTATGGTCCATGCCTGGAGGCTTCACCTCTGGATTCGGAGGCGGACGCGATGGGTATCAAAACGTCGATGATTCCCCAGCACCCAAACCTTCCCTCAGCGTCCCTCCTCAGCCCACGTCGCAACCTGCGCAATCACAGACTGCACCCGGAGCGTACCAGGCGGTTTGAACTCTACTATAACCATATCCCAAACTCTCATCTCATCGTGAAATTGTTATTCGTACAACGTGCATGGAGTTGAGGAACAGTATATGCTACATGATGTCAGTGTGTGTGCGTGTTGTCTACAGCAAATGACCGGATGAATGGACTCCTACTTTGTGCAGAATGTAGGATGGACCAGGTAACTGTATGTTGCGTACTAAAATGAGCGTTGCGGAACTTGCGATTTGTATGAGAGCATGATGTGAATGACCAAAGAAGGTATAGATGTGGGTTGTCATTAGTCAGAATGCGTCACAATATTCACTGGGTCGTCGTCCTGAACCCAGATGCAGCTACTCCGTTTCTCCGGGCCGTCGCACGCCTCCCACTCGTCGGACGTCTCGTACTGCGTTCCTTCCACCCATCGCCTCCATGCTTCTCGAAGGCCCTTTTCTAAGTTCCTCGTCCAACGGAGCGTGTCGTACAGCGGCATGTTATCTCGATTCAAGAAAATGTTGCGGCGAAGGTTCATCAGTTCTCCTTGGCCTCTAGGGATAACCGCTCTTGAGGGTTCGTGATAAGGAACATAACGAATGCTGTGGGCTAGCGCGACGGCCCGAGCTTCGTATTCCTCAGCGCTATGAACGATCATATGGTCCGCAAAGCCTGTCGCTTGAAGCATGCTCGCAGCCACGCGGGAGCACATCTTGTGCCGGTGCTTGGGCCATGTCAGGATCGGCGTCCCTGTCCATAACACATCAGCAGCAATTGTGTGCGCGTTACACTGAGATCACATGGCATCAGCTGCAGCCTAAGACTGAATCCAGGTGTCCTGCGCTCACCTCCGCAGTGTCTAGGAAGATATCCGCCGCCCGTGCGCGATACACGTGCCAATCCTTCTTGGCTACGTCGGTAAAGTGGATACGCGACGCAACATCATCCCCGCCCCACAGCCTAGCGGAACGGAGGAGGTGCTCTTCACCTGCGCTAGGGAAACGTAGCAGCCAGAGGATACTCCGCGGGACTTTGCGGAGTATGCGAACCCAAACCAAGAAGATGCTCTGCGAATCACATCAGTTCAGGGTCTCGGCGAGAGATAAAGTGAGATAAGCCTACCGGATCAACCTGTATGCAACGCGGAACGATACAGCGAGTTCAATTGATGACGTCGAGAACCGTGAACACCGTTACTCACTTTGTAGAGCTGCGGACCACGGGGTTAGTATGCGTAACCTCAAGAGTCTACTAAGTGCGCCTACGGGAACCGACCTGATTGAAGTTTGCGAAGATGACAACGTCTCTGCAGCATAGAATGGAAGTATCTCCTACACCCAATCGCACCTACCGAGTGAGAGCACTCACTGAGGGACATCAGGGAACAAGTGCCTGCGAGCGTCCGCCCGCCTTCGTTCCTCTTCTAACCAGAGCGTCTCGGGAGACATTCGCGCACGGTCCTCTGCGCTGATGTGTTCATCTCCCCGATAGGATTGCTTGTGGTCGGCTACCATGAAAGTATGCTGCAAAGTAATGAGGCCCAGACGCTCCTACACGGAATACTAGGGACGCACCGGCATGTATAGCAATCTCTCGGTGCTGGGCACCATAGCAGCCACCAGCGAGCAGTCAGAAGGATATCGATATCTCAAGTGCTGATGTACTCACTACACCCACTCGTTCGATATATCTTCGGGATCTATGTCCGCGCCGAGGTCTAGCGGCGTCTCTATAGATTGTGTGCTCTGAGAGCTCGACGTCACGTTGTCCCCGGCGGTTCGCAGACTGCGCCATCGCTCCGGCCCCGACAGGTCCTGTGGACAGGCTATTGGATCACAGACGAGGTAGTCGCACCAATCTAAGGAAGACCCACAGTCAGAACGAGGTGGAGCGTCAGGATTCAAGCTGCGTACTTCCGCCGAGGGAACCCGGATAGCCCATCAGCTGCATCTGGATGGGACACGGCCGCGCTGCGCAGACGTCGTTCCGAGAACCCTTCGTGTAGCCACCCAAGTTGATGACTATTATACGAGCCTTAGCGCGGGAGGTACGCGTGAAGGACGGGACCACTCACGGATGTGGACCTCTTGCTGCTGAATGTGATTGAAGATCTGCTTGAGTGACCACGCCGACACGTCGAAGCAATTCTCCACCATACTCGCAATCCGGGGACGATACACGGTACCATCCCACGGACTTGTTGAATAGATGAGCACGTTGAACTGTTCCTTGTCGTGCATTCCGAAGACGGACTGCATCAAATGAGACAGCGGATGATTGCTGACGACAGCTACGTAGTCAGCGACGTCCTTAGTGTCATATTGCACGGGACGCACTTCACGTCGTTAGAGATGTAGGCTATGGTGAGTTTGCCCTGGACTGGTGGTCTCGGCGGTCGACAGACGTGACTTGGCATCCACGGTTGCGAGAGAGCCACGTACGATGCTCTCAACGCGTTTCGATGAGCAATCAGTCGAGAGACCCGAGGCGAAAGCGGATACGTGAACTGTTAAGCAACATCATCAGGCAAACCTAAACACGGATGCTCCTAATATCCCGTCTTCCACTCACAGTGTGAAAGGGGAGCACAGACGGTACCAGCGGAACTTGCATTGTCTTGGGAAACTTAGGGCGGACAAAAACGCTAGTGAAGTGATCCTCGACTAGAGGGACAATTTGGTCGAGCGCGATGGTCTTGCCGTATGCCTTGACGTACCACCTGCGCTGCATCTGCGGTATGATCCAATCAATGAAGCGGATCAGGAAGCCCGATCCATTTACGTGCTTCTCGGCCAGCTCCGCTCCGCTGCCCGCGATGAGGTGGAATCGCGCTCGCCATAGAGCTGCTTCGCCTGGGCGGAGCAGGCGGTCCTTCATGATCGTTAGAGCACGCATACAGTCGTCCACGACGGTCGGAATGTGCGCTCCGTCGATGCCCTGCAGGTAGACCTCCTTGATTTGCTCATCGGTGATCGACACCATTCTTGCCATCCAACCTGTGTGAAGAGGTGGCTCCGACGAGATGACATGGCCGGAGTCATCCACGCCAACCTCGTTCTCGACTGCGCCTCTCCCGCGCCAGTCGCATATGGCAGACAGAGAGTTGACGAGACCGCAAACGGCTTCTGGGAGTGAGGGGTTTACAGCCGCTGCACGCCGGTAGTACTCGATAGCATCCCAAGGACGGCCCTTATTTTACAATGCGTTTCATCAGTGCTCAGTAGGGAATGGATAGCATAGTGAGGTACGTACGATATCCTTGATTGCGTTTCCTAGGTTCGCAAGTGCGATGTCAAAGTCAGGTTTTTGCTCGATCGCCTTCATGTAAAGCCTGGGATAGTCACTTCAGCAACGCCCAACACGCACGCAATGGCAACTGGTAACAAGACGCCTCACTTGATGGCTTGCTCTACCTGACCCTGATCCTTCAGCAAGGAGCCCAAATTTGTCAACAAATGTGGATGTTGTGGTTCGATCTTTAGACCCGCGCTGTAGAAGATCCGCGCAAGAGCTGTCCCATCAAGCAGCTCTCCACCCGGCCCCCTCCTCGTCTCTGCGATCCCTGATATTACAATGCCCAGGTTATTGTACGTCGACGGCGCGGGGGCCCGTGAAAGCGCGAGATAGTAGAGAAGGACGACGACGGTCGTGCTCACCCTCAGACCATCGCCGGTGTCGGGAAAGACCGTGCTAGCCAGGGCATTCTCCTGGAAGCGTTTCGCGAGCGTAAGCAAAACCGTGCTTGTCATCCCATTCGTCTGCTGGAGCGTGCTGTCTGCTGGTGGAACCAAGTCGCCGTCCGCCGTACGAGTGCAAATGGCAGGGAACACGCCTTTGGACCAGGGAAAGAGCAGAGGCTGGAGACGGACCACTTCTTCGGGGACGAGCAGAGGAGTAGGAAGTATTCCATCACCGACGCGAAGGAGCGTGTGGAGGAGCTGATCGCCAGAAGTACGGACGACATGGAGGAGGTTGAAAGTAGGATCGCCGAGGCTTGTGCTCACGTCGGCTTGGAAGATATCGGACAGCTCGATTATTCCAGGAGAATTGGCAGAAGAAGACATAATGTGTCCCGCTACACAAGCAGCGAGCAACAAATCGCGCAGAGTGTACAACTCGAAGTGCGAGAGTGGAGGCGGGGGTCGAATGACAAGCTCTATAGCTCGTGCGAGCTCAGAAACAGCTCGCCCCGTATTCGTAGGGCCTAGAGTCGAGTAAATTGTCCCACTGGTGAAGATAGCTCGTTGTAGACGAGGGACTTCGTCAGGTCGGAGGGAAGCGGATAGGTGGCCGTCGGCGTCGAATACGTGTCTTTGCACGAATTGACAGACACCTAGAGCTTGCCGATAGTAGGCCAGACGTCGGCCCTGGTCCGACGTACCGTGGGCTAGTTGAAATGTCATGCCAAGGATGTTGTCCTTGCAAAGTTCAACGACTTATCGACATGCAGAAGAGTCAGAGTCAGTACTCACCAGAGCGTCCCCATACGTAGGACGGAGCTGGAGGGCTTTCCACCACCACTCATATGCCTGCTCAGTCTGCCCGAGAGCTTTCATAGTCGTGCCGATATTACTCATTGCTTCGACATACTCGGGGTCGTGAGAGAGTATTTGCTGACTGATGGAGAGGCTATGATGATAATCCCCGAGGACGTGATACGTGCACGCGAGGAGTAGCAAGATGGGTAGATGGTTAGGATGATACTGTACGAGGGTCAGAAGTAGCGGTAGCAGGCGACCGCGATAGATGTTCTCAATGGTGTCGTCTTGAGGCGCGACGTATCGGATGGGAACTGTGGTGAGTCCCATCGAGGGGGCACCGGCCAAGGGAGAATCATAGAGGTAGTAGGCGTATGCCATCATAGCATCACGAGCCATTGCCGTTGATAGCGGGCCATGCTTACTTCCAGACGAGGGCGGATCAGGAACCGAGCCAGTCGTAGAAGCAGGATTCTGGCCTGCATTCAGTCCGGAGATTGTTTCCGGAAGATGATGCGGATGTTGGTCTAACGAGAGGTGTGAGCTTTAGATTGAGAAGGCAGAGGGTCAGATGAGACATACCGGCAGCCCACACAGGCTGTGGCAATGGGACATCGATGGTGGCTGTTCGAAGAGGACGAGGCGTGGGAGAATTTGAGGGAATATTCCAAGGTTGGGCATTAGGAGAGAAGGATTGGGAGGCATCATGCGACAAAGAGGAATGAAATTGAGGGTGCGGTTCGTGCGGCAAATGCAATGCTTGGGAGTCGTGTGAGCGCCGGTGGCCTGTTTCTGAGTGCTGGGAGGATGCAGGAGGATGTGCAGATGGAGAAAAGACTGGGTCAGGCATGGGGAGGCGGCATGAGATACCAGCTTGCGTGGGCAGAAAGAAAAGTTCAAGGAGAAAAGAATGGGCGGTGGTGGTGGGCAAAGCGGGAGGTTGGGGTTGGAGGTATTGGATGCATGAGGCCGTCGGAGTGGGACTACGCAGTCAACGTCAACGATTCGTGAGTGGTCGGCGTTCATAGCCAGAACTTCATGTCGTCATTGCCCATATCCGGCCACACTCCTGCAGACGCCCGCCGAGCACTAACTTACAGTAAGCTTAGATCTGGAGATCGCCGCGCAGGCACCTCTTACGACACCCGTCTTACTCGGCCTTGCTCGACCGCATATATTTGTACGCCTTCTTGGACTCAACTACATAGCCACGACCACCGTCTGACCACCCATCTGTCGTCTCCTTCCTGCGTATTCTGTAGGCCAGATACGTGCGCCATGCATACAGGACTCTCTCGAAACGTCGAGCTAGCCGGGGTCTAGCCCTTGTAATCGTCCATGAAGCATCGGACCGCTCGAGCCCGCGTGCACGTCATGGGGATGCTCAGGGAACACTCTCGCCCGTCTGGCCGCCCTCTGCAGCGTCCCGCAGAGTACTGATCAATCTGCCATTGCTAGCTCACGGCCCGCGACCTGGCCGACTGCCGCAACGATATGCAGTTCGGCTGCTGCAGCTCATCCCATTCACGGAAAAATCTGCCCTCATCTCTGTTACTAGAAGCGTCCTCGCACCTCTCCCGAGCTATAGCTGGCCTGATCCTGCTCCATCTCGACCGACCTCAAGTCTGCCAACTCAATCGCCTCTAGCTTGTGCGCTCATCCCCATATGTCGCTCCCGTCCTCTCTCCTTTCCTATGTCCGCTCCCGGGTCATCGTCGATGTCGATTCCATGGATCCTGCGGTCGCCGCGCGCCATACGGCTGGCGACGGAGCCAGATTTTGCGACATGACGTCCAATCAAGCCATCGTTTATGGCGAAGTTGCTAGACCAGATCGCGCAGAGCTTCTCGAAAAAGCTTGCGCTCAGGTTCGATCGTCAGAGGCAGAGCTCGATATTGAAGCGCAGGTTTCGGATGCTATTGATCTGCTCGTATGTCCAGAAATCTCGATGCAGAGAGCTGCTACAGTTTTCTGAGATTTGTGTCATCACACAAGACGGTCTTGCTCGCAAAGGAGGTCTATCCATATTTGACCGGCCGCGTGCACGCCCAGACCTCCCCCTCTACGGCGTACAACACGGAAGCCACCATCCAACATGCGAAGAAGCTGGTTTCAGTCTTCGATGCCAACGGAATTCCCAAGTTTGCGCTATACCTTCCTCGTCCTCATCACTTTCTGACCTGCCGCGTGTCCCTTGCTCCCATGTTCGTACGATCAACGGTTCCCGTGCAGGTCCCGTGTATGCATCAAGATCCCAGCGACGCCCGAGTCTACCATCGCCTGCCAATATCTAGAACGTCTCGGAATCCGCACTCTGTCGACCTGCCTCTTCTCCGTCGCGCAGGCGATCGCGGCCCACCAGGCCGGCTGCCTTTACATCGCACCCTACTTCAATGGTACGTCTGCCCATCCTATTACGACATTTCCTCTAGAAACCGCGCGGTGCTGATACTCAGCTCGATGTCCACCACACATGCGTTGTCGCCTGCATGTGCGTCCCGGCGGCACACTCCATCTTATAGAGCTCCGGGTACATTTCGAGCCGGGCGTGTGGAAGGAGTATGCGGATACCGCGAAAGAGCATCCTGCCTCGAGAGTCATCAGTTCAATTGTGCGTCTCTACAAAGAAATTGGGGCGAGCACGCTCGTCATGCCTGCGAGGTGAGAGTGCCATCTGTTTCGCGGTAGAATGCAAGAGCCCCGCTGGCATCTTGCAAGCAGCTCGCCTGCCGAGCAAGGCGATGGGCACTTGATCCGCGTGCCATGAGCGCGCGGCATACTGCGATACCTGCAGAAAGGGCTGGGCCGTGTCGATGTATGCTGTGTACTGACTCTCTGCAACGCCGTCACACACGACCCTCGCCACTCTCAGCATCGTGACTTCGAAAGAGGTTAGTACTGCGACGCCGTGTTTGCGTTACCTTCGTGAGACTGAACCGATCGATCGATCAAAACGCATCACAGGTCCTCGCCCTCGTTTCTCTCAAACCCGATCACCTCACGCTCTCCGGCGCAGTGCTGGACCAGCTCGCCGCTGCGCAGAGCACGGACACTGTCGACCAGGATCCGAAACCGCATCACCCCGAGGTCGGTCTGGAGAGTGGTCCCGCGACTTCTGACGGGAGCGACGCCCTTGAAGGTGAGGGAAGATCCAGAATTCGAGGCACTCGAGCCACGAAGCTAGTCGAGCGAGAGACTGATACATTCTGCTTGTGCTTGGACAGAACCGGATGTGAAAGCGACGAACTTCCTCGAGAACGGCGGTGCTGCGCTGAGGGAGGCGATCGCGGCGGATGCGGAGACGACGCGCAAGTTGGCGGATGCGCTGAAGATATTCGGGGAGATGGAGGCGAAGACCAAGGAGCTTATTCGTGCGAAGCTGCAATCCCAATTTTCGTAGGCCTAGTCCTTCCTAGAGGGCAACGTGCCGAGAACGTAGAAGGGACCCAGACGCTAGCCATGAGCCAATGCACAAAATCTCACGTATCATCTGGAAATGTACAAATGCTTGCGACTCATTTATGGAACGATATGTATCGACATGTCAGCGCGCCCCAGTCCCATATCATCAGTCCTTCGCGCGCCCAAAGTGGTTGCTCTACAGTAGATTTTCCTGTTTGAGGGCTCCGATGATCAGGTATGCGGAACGGCGGTCTCTGTCCATGCCGATCCAGTCGCCTTTGCGGACGGGAGGATGATCGCCCTCGGACGCGTAGATGTCTTCCTCGTCCTCATCTTTCTTTCTCTTCTCTGCCTCTCGCTCCAGGTCCTCCTCTGAGTCCCACTGAACCTCTTCCCATTGCCACTCGCTAAGAGGACCTCAAGTCAGCAGCAGGAAACCGGCGTAGCAGACACGAGAGACCTACGCGAGGGTTATAGCGGCGAGTTTCGGGTCCGGCACGTTCGGCAATACCGAGAGCAGCAAGCCTGCGAGGACTGGCTGCATGTCAAGCGTCGCCTCCATGACCGGTAAGGGGAGATATTCCACCTGAAGGAAACCCGCAACGGCCAATTCAGCGCTGTGATTCGCACACTCGTTAGAACACATACCTCCAATAGCATTCCCTTGACGGCGCCTCCTGCAAGATGAACGTTGCCAGCCCGTACAAGCCAGTCAGTACCAATCGAGTACACGTGACCATCCACAGTCAGATGGGGGCCCGTCCCCATCCCAACGCCCTTCTGTCCTGAAGTACCCGCATTGCTAGCAGAGCTTCCCGTTTGACGGACGGAGACCCAACGAGCGCGAAGCTGGGTGAGCAGCTGCTCGAGTGCCATGGGAGGACTGAGCGTCGGAAACGTCTGGCGGTAGTGAGTGGGTGGCTGAAGAGTCATGCCGGGGTTCGTCCGTGCGTATTCGGCTGCGTGCTGGAGATAATCTGCCCGCATGGGGGCAGCGGGGTCTTCGATTACACAAAATACGTTGTCTGTTGGGTGGGAGTGAGTGCTGCATTATGAAGCTGATGCAGAGGTGCTAACCGTCCATGGTAAGCGTACACATAGATCGTTCAACTGGGACCTGGAAACCTGGTACAGATCCCATGGTGGAACGGAAGGACTTCATATGGAGTATCCATCGGCCCTTGTATTGGCCCTAAAAAGCTATGAGCCCACGGTCAAGGTGTTGAACGCAAGGGTCAAAGCACATACTTGGTGGTTTTTGATGATGTTTTGTGCAATCAGCTCAAGTCCCGTGGTGGGAGCGTTGGTCCACCTCACTAGCCTAGATGGTGTGCGTGGTTAGAGTCGTATCAATCCACGACGTCTTTAGGTAAGAGTTACCCAGAGTACCCCATTTCTCGACCACACAACCAGTCTACTAGTGTGTGCTCACGGTGAACTCAATCACGGTCATGCGTGCATCCACGCTTGTGGGCCGTAGCCGCCCTAGGCAGATGCACGTCCGGAGATTGAACGAACGACAGACTACAAGCGCCCATCCTACGCGTTTCTTGTTCCGTTCACTGCGACGTCACAGGCAGTCCTGAGCAAGATCGGCTCAGATCGGTCACGCTACACGAGAAACCGCGACGAGCCGACTTGGAGAACGAACAAATTCGTCTCTTCCTCAACTTCGTTCGTTAGCAAAGCGGTGAAAGCTTCATTCCCTTGAAGATATTTCTCCTGGCATGCCGGGATTTGATACAGAATGGCCTGCAGACTCTACGGAGTTCTGTCCTCATCCCTCGGCGCGAGATATCTTCGTCTGCGGGACGTATAAACTGGAACAATATCAAGATTCCAGCCTAGACGGCCCAGGAACGCCAGATGAAGAGGGTGTCATAGATTCTCACCGTGGTAAGCCGCAAGTCAGGAGAGGGAAATGTCTTCTGTTCCGAGTTCACGAAAACGACCAACTGTGCGCAAGCTCTTATGGATGCATCCGGAATGGCTGACAGACGCGATAAAGTGCAGCACCTTTCTTCATGAGACAAGTCTGCCCGCCATACTGGACATGAAATGGTTAGTTTAAATTCTCCGTCGATATCCTGACGAAGAACTCAACGTCTGGGAGGATAGGTGTCATCGGGCTCCTACCGTCTCACCACTCCTGGCAATCGCAGACTCGGAAGGGCATGTTACTCTTCATGAGCTCAGGAATGAAGAGGTACGCACTACTTGGCGATCACAATCGCCGGTTTCAACTGACACCACTCCTAGTCACGACTGCACCAACTACAGTCTATATCGTGCGCGTCATCCGACAGGCTATGTCTGTCTCTCGATTGGTCTAATCGAAGGATCCCAACAGAGTACGACTGCCTCCTCTGAATTACGATTGGCGCTCATTTGTATACAAGGGGGCTTGGGGACCTCATCGTCTCTCTCTCCAGCGGGTCCCTCTCTCTCCTTCGTCCAGGGGACGAGGGGCTTGTCGAAGCTGACTCATGGCATGCGCATGATTACGAGCCGTGGATCGCAGCCTGGGACTACTGGAATACGAACGTGGTTTATTCAGGTTGGTCCCTCTGCAACACAGCGAGTGAAGAGCCATTCAATCTCACCGATCACAGGCGGAGATGATCTCAAAATGAAGGGCTGGGATGTGCGACAGGGAGGGGATCAGCCCACCTTCACAAACAGGAGGTACGTATTTCAAACAGAATCTATTGTCCGCTTCCCTGACAGCTAGACGCAGATTCGACGCGGGAGTGACGACAATCCAATGTCACCCCTACATAGAGCACCTCCTTGCGGTCGGCAGCTACGACAACACCGTCCGTCTTTTTGACACCCGGAAACCCCTCGTACCACTCGTGCAAGTCGATGTTGGGAGTGGCGCATGGAGAGTCAAGTGGCATCCGTCCGAGACGCGCAAGAACGACCTCCTCGTCGCGTGCATGCACGATGGCTTCAAGGTCGTCCGCTTTGACACTGGGAAGGGTAACGCCACCACCGTCTCTTCTACTGAGATCGTTCAACGCTTTGATAAGCATACGTCACTAGCATATGGCGTCGACTGGTCGTTTGCGGAGGACGGCGAAAGTGCTGGTACATTAGTGGCTAGCTGTTCCTTCTATGACCACACGCTACATCTTTGGAGGGCATAGCTACAGGTCGCATATAATATCATAAACCTCGTTAAGTGGGGTATGCCATGTCGGATGACCATCCGAGGTCGCCTATTGAGCCGAGCCGGCCCCGTCATTGGGCGGAGAGGGTGCCCTGGTGGGTGGTGCGGGTGTCGGCGGCGCGTCGGTGCCCAGCCGTCGGCGTTTCCAGAATCCAGCGTTGGGGCCTTTCATAACAAACGCCAGCGCCCATTTCGACAGACCTCGTAAGGTGTCGGGACGATGGACCGCAGCAGTCAAGATGGTGGATAGTGGGAGGACAAAGACGAGTCTGGTCATGACCAGTCAGAACGCGCATGTATCGACATAATGAAGGCGTACCTCTCGGCCCATCGTACACTCGGCCGACCGCTCTTCACCCACTGATCTGAGATACAAGCCCTGATCGCTCGCGGAAGAACATAGAGAGCCATCTCACCCCGCCTTCGGCCGCGCTCGATCCAGATGCTAGCGCCGCAGAGCAAGCTCCCGACAAACGTGCAACCCAGAGACGAATCCCAGAAGTCATGCGAGATGCCAGGGAAAAGCCGCGCAAGTAACAACGTGCGTGTCAGGCAGACACCATACCAGACGGCCGCGACGAACGTCGACAGGAACGTAGCGCTACGCGCCACATTCTGCAGGGTCTGGATGAGATTTGGGATCTCGAGGAGCTTACGGGGCCGAGTGAGAAGAATCGGCAGGACGTGGACCTTTGCGTAGAGATCAGCAGCACATCCACAAATTGGGGTGAATGTACTTACAGGAAGGTAGAGCGCAACGGCTTCCGCGAAGGCTTGCAGACCGCGAATTCCGGCATTAGCGGTGCAGCCAGTCGCTAGACCACTATGTACCACCTCGCAGGGCAAGCCGCCAAGGCCACGCCGGTTGGAGACACCCAGAGCCTTCCAGGCGATGTCGGCTTCCGGCCCGCCATACGCAGGTACTTGCGCTGGGTCACCCCAAGCGGGGGGATAACCAAGATCTGCTGAGAGCGACGTGGCAAGGTCTGGGGGTACTGAGAAGCCTTTCGTATACGAGAAGCTCCCAGACCTGATGGCGCGCAGAGCTGTCAGAATACGAGGGTCGATGTTGGCTAGTTTCATGATCCTGCACATTGAGCGTCAAATACGGTTCACTGCAGTGGGTGGGGAAATTACGTGCCACTTGTTATAGGAAGGAGGCAATCTGACCACACTTTCAGCTTCTATGCACGATGGAATCAACTTCAGACCAACCTGTCCGGCTCGTAGAAGAAGCACCACATGATCCTGATGTTACGGATTTCAGTCTGACGCTCTACGAGATACGATGGAACGAAGAACGAACGTACCTTGCACTACTCGCCCAGAACACCAGCGCGTCCAGTCGGGTAGTCCACTTGCGTCTATCTGCCATCTTCTCTTCCTTGACAGCCGCGGGCAAATAACGTTCACTAGTCGAAGGTTTGAACAGAGCGAACTGCACGACAGTATCCATCGCGCGCACGAGCACGATCAAAGTGAGGTCCAACGTCGGCGAAGGCCTTCCGACCCAGGCCGAGGTAGCATGTCTCCGGCGCGAGTGCAACAGCCCGATTGCGAAGGAGGTGGAAACGATATTCGACAGGAACGTCTTCTGGGTGTCCGTCAGCGAGGACAGCCATGTTCGCACCTTCGCGAGGGGACCGTCCGTCCCACGACCGCCGTTTTTCGCAGACCACTCCTCCCATCGGTCCCAGACGTGTCGGATGGCCGCACCCCCGGCAACCCCGACGGTCATCGCCGACGCGAATGAGTTGACGGAAAGCTCGCGCTTAAGAAGATAGAGGACGCGTGAAAGACCTTGAGCACGCGCCTTTCGCGAAGTTAGGAAGGGGAGCAGTGCGGGGCCGAGCGCGAGCGAGAGGGCAAGGGAGTATGTTCTGAGCGCAATCTGGAGTGGGTGGTCGTCCGGGAGGGTGTGCAAGAAGTCCGCGAGGTCGTGCGGCGCATCCCGGACGCGCTTGCGGATGTCCAGAGTCTTCATGGCGGGGCGTTAGGAAAGGGGCCGCGCTGTCGCAGGGAAAGAGTGGGGCATTGCAAGTGAAGTGAGCGCGGCGTCGTACAGCGCGGTCGCACCAGCGCGTGAATGATGCCGCATGACGAGCGCCTCCAACGATATCACATGCGATCACTCTGCGAATCCACGCGGCAGATGCGCGCTCAATCAGGCAACCGTTGTGGTTGAACCAGTAAAACGCGGCGAAAACAATTGAGACATGCTCTGCCGTCATACATCGGTGGGATTTGTCAATGTGGTATAAGTAATGTACATTATACTAGCAATCAGGTATCGTCAAGATGACTTGAGCGCGTCGGCCGAATCCCCGCTCAAGTCTTTGGTATAACTCCAGAAGTCTAAGAATTGCACGCTATCCGGAATGCCTAGACCCGCTCGGAGATCTTGCAACAAACCAGCCTTTGCAAGAAGAGATATGAACTGAGCACGCGAATCCGGGTATACAAAGAGGCTCAAGATGTCCGAGCCCTACAAACAAAATCAGCAATGAACGACGGCGTACGAAGCTCAGCGGAAGAACTCACATGTCGTCGAATGACAGCAGCGACACGCTCTTTGGGTGCCGGTGCCAAACTGGCCCTTGATTCGGCGGTGAGATGAGCAGCGCCCGACTGGCTCGAACTTGTCGATATTCCATCCACGGACGGTAGTGTCCTCGATGTTATGCGTTTCCCGCTTTCAATGGCCTCGGGTGACACCACCGCAAAAGGAGCGATGACAGGATTCAACGACGAAACGCGAGATGCAGGCCTGGATGCTCCAGGGACCCCAAGCCACCTGGCCCAAAGCTCCACTTTCCGCCCATCCCAACCTAGGCGACGGAGTGCAAGGTGACATCGCTGCCAGTCGCCGGCATCGCCTCTCCACACTTCAATATCGTCCTCGCTGTCGTTCGTGGCAGTGAGCAGGACAGATGGCGGCCGCGTCGCTCCCTCCTCGTGATGCTCCAGCTCCGGGAGACCCGACAGAGCTCCGGCGTCCTCGAGGACACTTGCAGCCTCGTGCAAGGCCTGTGCAGGGCGCATCATCAACCGTATCCATCGTCGACGTCGCACGAGTCCGCGGTTGCTCATGAAGCCCGGATTGGGGCTCCACTTCTTGCTCCGAAAAGAACGGGCATACTCAAAGCCGTCATACTGGACCTCGCCGTCGCCACGCATGTCGATCATCCAGGCTCTGGAGACCCACCTCCAGGAGCCATCCGGAAGTGGGTAGTCCTCCAGAGTGACGGTGGGCTGGTTCCTCCGGGGAGAGGTCGAGGCGGTGGGGATGGTGAACGGGGGAGGGTCCAGGGGCAGGAGAGTCAGTGGCGAGTAGTTCGCGGTGGAAAATACAGTTGCACTGACGTGGCTCTCAGCCAAGAGATTGGGTGTTGAGATACGTCTGTTACGCACCCTCGCTGGTTCTCGTACAACACCGCCCATCTGTAGACATCCTTGTCGTAATCCTCATCGAGTTCGGTAGAGATATTGGGGTCTTCGGCAAGCTCTACCAAGTCAAGTGTGTCGGAGGGTCGAGGACATGTTGAGTCAAGTTCTTCGAAGTAGGAGCGGCGCGATGAGTCTTCGGACGTGGTCCTCTTCCGGTGGAGGTACGGTAGAGACAGTGAGACATTGGAGAGAAAGCTGTGCTTGCTTAATCGCTGCCGAGCTTGGTTCGCGGCGGCATATTCACCCCTCTCGAGTGCGTCTGGTGGAGGCGGTGACAATGCCTGCACGAAATGCAGAGAAGACGGACCAGCCGGGGTGGACGCAAAGGAAGAGCCCTCGGACATGGCTCGACCGAGGTGAGTGTGGCTGACTATGGTTAGGGTTGGTGTCTGTGTTCGCCCACATAGAATCACATGACGTCATTACCTCGAGGTTCGCTGCGACCATGTTCCGTCTTCCCGCTCGCACGCTTATATACCTCTCCGCCCAAGCTCGTCCAGCCATCCGAAGACATGGACCATTCAGGGTTGGCCCTCTTCTCAGACCAAGCCCAACGCCATTGCTTGCGCTCTCCAGGCGAAGCCAAAGCACGACGTCTAGTGGCCCGAGACGATGTCCGTCGTGCTCGACTCCCTTCCCCACCTCTCTTCCAGTTTGCCCGGACTGCTTCTACATCACGCCAATGCCAGAGTCGATGACATATCATGAAATGCTTGGAACGCCGTACGAACCCAACCCATTTGTGGTTGACCTCCGTCAACTCAAGAACCAGTTCCGAACGGTCCAAGGAATTGTGCATCCAGATCGCTGGGTTGGCAAACCTCCGGTATGTATTGTGCTTAGCGTAAATATGTTGAAAATGACCATTTTTGTATGTACTCTTTCTACAGGAGCATCAAGCAATTGCATCTGCGATGTCTTCTCGCATAAATGAGGCTTTACATCGCCTGTCTGATCCCTTGAGAAGAGCTGAGTACATCCTCGCCCGCGAAGGTCTCGCCGGTGAAGAGACAGATAAGTTGGAAGATATGGATCTCCTGATGGAGGTGATGGAGGCGCGGGAGGGTCTTGCTAGTGCGGAATCTCAGGAAGAGGTCGAGGAAATCCGGTCGCAAAATCAAGGTGCGTGCGCGGACGCTCGGCGCGCTCACCTTGGACTAAATGGCCCAGCAGCCAAGATAGAGGAAGTACTGAAGGAGATTGAGGACCTGGTCGCGGAGAAGAACTGGGACGCCCTTCGTACCGCAGCAGTCAAGCTCAAATATCTGCAAGGCATACAGTCCGCTGCAGCAGCTTGGCCAGCAGTTGTCCATGATCACTAGACTGTATAGTAGAATAACTGCCACCTATTGTGAGGCATAGGTGGCGATCCATGTATATACTTCTTCCCCACTCATCAACGATTTATGTTATCTCTTCTACGTGCATATGCTGGACCAACGCAAGGCTTTGCGAAGGCTTTCTGTGGACTGACGTCAGACGCCGAATCGCAGCTCGGCACTCTCCAGCGAAATGAGACAGAGCGGGCGTCTGTCGCCCAGCAAGACTTGTCCGACACCGTCTTGACCGACTCTCGGTCGCTGCTTCGACGCCAGCCCTGTTCGAGCTGCGTCTCCGTCCTAGTTTCTTGTCTGTTCAAACCTTGTAGCTTGGAGATCCTGAACCTTTAGAGAGGCGTGGAACTTCCAAGGGGGACGATATAGGTCGGTGCAACATCGCATTCGCTCTCCAGAACTGCGTTTACCCTCTGCTGTGATAGAACCGTCTGTCTCGTTCACATCCTTATGCGCTTTCCCTTTGGGCTACGACTCAGGCGCAGCCTTCTTCTCATGCCATTCCAGCAACCTTCTCCGCTCGCATCACCTTCGGCTTCATCGTCTCGCCCCTTCTCTCGCTCGACTCCCGCTACCAAGCAGTCCTCTGCCTCTCCTAAACGCGTCTCGGAATCTCCATCTGCCGAGGAGCCCCCTTCCAAAATTCACAAGGCCGACCGAACACCTAATAGTCCTGCTGCCATGTCTCACCCGGAGCGCACGCATCCCCGCTCCGCTCGAGGCGCATCATCCTCCCTGCTCGCCAGAGCACACAAGAACAATGCTTCTGGTGGCGGAAGAGGTGGTGGTGGGAAGAAGAGGAAGGAGAACCGAGCGCCTCCCCTTCCCGGACCTCTACACGATGAGCAGTACATTACCAGTACCTACAAGGTGAAGCCTCTCAAGCAGATCCACGAAACCAATCCGAAATCCCCCTTGAGCAACTACATCATAATGACGAGCGGTGAAAAAATGGAGTTCACGGCTCTCCATGGTGTAGTTGAGGGTAGCGACCAAGTCGTATGGAGGTGAATATCGAAATGCGTTAGCTGTAGCGGCCTGCAATCTCATACAGAGTTGCTGCTCAGGTGCTCCATAGCCGTCAAACACGACCGTGGTGAAGTCGTCGGTACCGGGGACCATCCTAATCGTAAAAACGCAGAGACCTTGGCCGCTCTCTCCGCGTTGTATCAGCTGGATGCGGTCGGCGGGGTATGTACATCTCATGTATGATCGGCCACATGCTCACGTTCGGGTCGAAGTTTGATAAACGCAAAGAAAAGGCGAAGGAAGAAGCGACTCCTGTCGAAACCACCTTGTCCGATGGCTCTGTGGTCGACTACGAGCGTGCTCGTCACTTCATGGACTACTACTGCCGCCGATTCCGTTTCACGAAGCCAGACATTGTCTACTCTCAGCCTCCCCGAGGCCAATGGCAGGCTGATATGATCGTAGGCGACCGTCGCATCGGATTCGGCAAGGGCCCGAATAAGAAGGAAGCCATGACCAGATGTTACACCGATGTCGTGCAGTACTTGGAGAAGTGCGACCCCAGCATTTGGCAGGACTTCTTGAGGGATGTCAAGTTGGGCAAGGACCTCGGAATGGCGCCTCCGGTGCTCTTCCAAGCCGACGACATCCTAGAGGACCAGATCCAGAACCTCAAGGAAGACATCAAGAGGAGTACCCTCTACCGCAATAGGCCAACCATCCGGTCTGCCGCTGATGGTCAAGGTCTTCCGCTACAAGGTAGCTCCAGCTACCGCCGACCCCCTGCATCTGCGGCCTACCTCGCTGAGAAGTCCGCTCGACTTCGTAGCCGCCGCGAGGCATACTTGACGAACCCCGCTTTGGAATCCATTCGTAACACGCGTGCGACCCTTCCCGTGTTCACGAAGTCGGAGGAGCTCCTCAAGCACGTGAACGAGCACGATGTCACTATCTGCATGGCGGCGACTGGTTCCGGCAAAACGACGCAGATCCCGCAGCTGATCCTAGACGAGTGGATCGAGCGAGGGGAAGGCGCGAAATGCAACATCATCTGTACCCAACCTCGCCGTATCGCCGCTATCAGTGTTGCGGAACGTGTCGCAAAGGAGCGAGGCGAGACGTGCGGTAGGGATGGTACGGTCGGGTACCAAGTCCGCTTCGAGTCAAAGCTCCCTGAGGACCATGGCTCCATCACCTACTGTACCACTGGTGTCTTCTTACGCAAGATGCAGACGGCGCTGATGGAGACGTCTTCGCGGAGGAGCATGGACGATGTTACTCACATCATTGTCGACGAAGTCCACGAACGTGACGTCGACATCGACCTGATGCTCGTCGTTTTGAAACGGTTGTTGGCGGAACGTCGTGCGCAAAAGAAGCCGGTCAAGATTGTGCTCATGAGCGCCACTATCGACGCAACGCTCTTCAGGAAGTACTTCCCTGATGAGCAAGGTCAGCCCGCGGGTGTCGTCGAAATCCCTGGCCGCGCTCATCCTGTGCAGAAGCACTTCCTCGATGACTTTGTTCCCGAGTTGGCCTCGGACCCGAAGACATCCTGGGTCTTCCGAGAGGAGTCGGTGAGGAAGTACCTGACTCAAGAACTGGGTCCTGATGGACCAGGCGTCGCCCCATCATTGCATTCCTCTCGCGCGCCTACCCCTATCTTGAAGGAACACTCTCGCGACACGGATGACCTCGAACTCCCCACTCCTCTCATCGCCTTGACTATCGCGCACGTCCTCAAAAAGTCGCAGGACGGTCACGTACTCGTTTTCCTGCCTGGCTGGGACGACATCAGTGCTGTCCGGAGATTCCTACTCGAGGGAGACAGGTCAAAACCTTTAGGGTTTAACTTCGGTGACACAAGCAAATTCAGCATACACCTACTCCATTCCACCATCCCCGTCGCTGAGCAACAAGCTATCTTCGATCCTCCTCCTCCCGGTGTCCGTCGCATCATCCTCTCTACCAACATCGCCGAAACCTCTGTCACTATCCCTGACGTCGTCTACGTCGTCGACACAGCGCGCATCAAGGAGCAGCGCTATGACCCGGCCCGCCACATTTCGAATCTCGTCTCTGCCTGGGTCGGCACGTCGAACCTCAATCAGCGTGCAGGTCGTGCAGGTCGTCACCGTCCCGGGGAGTACTTCGGCATTCTGAGTCGCAGACACGCCGAGGAGCTGCACCCGCATCAAACAGTTGAGATGAAGCGTGTCGACCTCGAGAACGTCGTCATGCACGTCAAGGCGCTCAACTTCCCTGGCATGACTATCGAAGAGGTTCTCGCCGCGACCATCGAACCCCCTGCTCCCGAGCGTATCGAGGCCGCTATCAAGTCCTTACACATGGTCGGCGCGCTTGACGCGGATAACAATCTCACGTCGCTCGGAAGTGTCCTTCTGCAGCTCCCTGTGGATCCACGTCTCGGTCGCCTCGTGCTATTCGGCTCCTTCTTCCGCTGCCTCGACTCCGCGCTCACAATCGCGGCTCTCATGGGATCCCGTGAACCCTTCGTGGCGCCCATCCATATCAAGCAGGAGGCGCAGGCGAAGAAGAATTCGTGGACGCCCGACGAGTTCCGCTCAGACATCCTCGCGGCGCTCCGGGCGTATAATGAATGGTGGGCGCTGCAAAGCCAGAACCTGTACGTATCCGCGAACCGGTTCTGCTCAGACAACTTCCTGTCAAAACCTACTCTCCTCAATGTTGCAAAGGTAAAGGATCACCTGCTGAAGGCATTGTACGATGTTGGTGTGGTCGACGTATCTGGAGGAGGACGGCTGCCGTATGTCCCACCCGGAGCGCGGTCGCGAGACGTCCCTCCGGTGCCGAGCCAACTCAATGAGAACGGCGACTCCTTACCTCTCCTAGCCGCCCTCATCGCGATCGCTTGCCAGCCGAAGTTCGCAATCCGGACAGGTGAGAGGATATACCGCACTGCAGTGGACAAGGTGAGCGTGATACGACCCAGCATCATGGTAGGCCGGCGCTGACTGTGATCGAAGGCGGTTATCATTCACCCGTCGAGCGTCAATCACCGCAGGCGAGAGATGCCCAAGGACGGTACCCCTCATGTCGAGAAGCAAATCATCGCGTACGCTGAGAAGAGGCAAAACATTTCCACGGGGCCTCACGCCGAGAAATACCTGGTCGCGACGACTCGCTTGGATCCCCTGACCTACGTACTGTTCGGCGCGTACCGTATCACCGTCACGTCGCGCGGGCTGGAGTGTGATGACTGGCTCCCTGTCATTGGCAGCATGGATGTCTTGGACGACCTCGAGCGACTCAAAGTAATGATGGAGGACTGCCTGCTTCGCGTCTTCCAGGGCATCATCGCCAGCCGACAGCGCAAGGCGCACCAATTTAAGAAGCCTCTGACGTATGCCGAAGGTCGTGAAGACGAGTCTGGCGACGAGGAGGAAGACGACCTGACGAATGTTCCATTGACCGACACGGAGATCAAAGAACTCGACCTGATGACGAGGGACGCAGTCCGGATCCTCAACCGCTACAGCACCTATCGCGCCGCGATGCAATCTCAGTCCAATTCCCGTCCTGGCACGCCCATGGACTCACCCTCGCTGGCGTCAGTGCGCCTTCCATATTCACCACATAGCGGAGCGCGGTCAGGATACTCGACGCCATACAACATTGCGTCGGCATACTCGTCGAGACCCAGCACGCCGAGCCGACTATCGAGGCAGTAGGGGACGTCATGGAATCGGAGTGGCATATGGTTATGGTTAGAGTCATACCATCGTGGCAAGATACACTAGTCGTCTATCCGCATACGCATCGTAATAAACTGAAATTTCCATAGCTCACAATCATAGCATGCCATCGGTCCGATGTGCGTTGGCAGTGGCACCTTGAGAGAACGGCTTGGCCGCTTGTTACAGAGCTCATCTACCTCGTGGTCTGTGTGGGCTCGTGTGAGAACAGAGTTAGCCCGACTCCCTAGTAGGGATAGCACTCGGCAAATGATGATGTGCCCTGGGTGAGCGCTGAGCGCTGAGCATGGACCTGGTGTCTCACTTCGAGATGACTACAAGACCAAGGACCTTTTAGACCACCCTCATTTCTGGTCACGACGTCGACCTAACCCCCGCTATGCCATTCGCTTTCAGACGACAACCTTTCAGCGCGGTGTACACACTTTGCGGGGTCGTCTACCTTCTGGCAGCTCTTCCGGTATGGCTCATTCTAGAGGCACTGCCGTCTGCTCGTCCCCGCAGATCCTGGTCCATTAAACGTGCCCTCTTCGCTCGTGCGGCACGGTTCTTCATTGGGGTGATGTGGCGCACCTGCCTACCCGCCCCAATTCCTCTGTCGAAATACGAACAGAATGCCAAGACACTTGGTTTCGTGTCGGTAGACGCCACTCACGAGCTCATTGTGGGCGAAATCGGCGAGATCGCGAAGCAAACCCGCGTCAAAGCAGAGCGTACCGGCGGATTCTGGTATGGTCCTCGAGACCCAAATGGCGACGTGGGGCAGCGACCGTCACCCGACGAAAGAGTCGTGTATTACTTCCATGGTCTGTCTCAGCCCCCCTCTTCATGATATTTTATATACTCACTCCTCACTCCTTCATCCATCAGGCGGGGGTCATGTTGTGAGTCTCGAACGACTACCTTGGATTCTTCAGACTATTCATGCTGTCCTAGATGGGCTCAGCCCGCCCAGGAGGTGGAAGCATGCCTATATTTAAAGGATTCCTAGAACACTTGGGGCCAAACCTCCGCATTTTTGCGCTCGAGTATCGCATATCTTCGGCGGCGCCATTCGAACCCGCCAATCCCTTTCCGGCCTCCCTCGTGGATGCCGTTGCGGGTTACAGATACCTCATCGAGGACGTCGGCTTCAGACCGCGTCAGATCATCCTCTCTGGAGATTCCGCGGGAGGTGGCATCGCGTTCAATCTCGCTCGGTACATCGCCACGGCAAAGCTCCCCTCTCTGCCTCAGCCCGGCGGTCTCATCCTCCTCTCTCCCACCATGGACTGGGCCCAGACCCATACCGGTCCGGGGTCATCCATGGAGCGCAACTATCGCTCCGACATTGTGCATGCCATCCTCGAGAGCGGCTACACACCACGGGCATTGATAGGCAGCCTCCCGGAGGAAACCGCCTCAAAGAGCCCATGGATCTCACCCGGCTCCCTGCAGGCCGAATGGCGGCCGGGGATGTTCTCCGGCTTTCCTCGCACAGTCATCGTTGCTGGAGGTGCGGAATACACCCTGGACGGAATGCACACAGCCGGGGATCGGCTGATCGAGGACAACGGGAAGGAGAACGTCACATTCATCGAGCCTCCTGATGCGTTACACGACTTTTTGGCCATGGAGTTCCATGAGCCAGAGAGGACGGACGTACTGAAGGAACTTGCGGCGTGGATGAAGACTTTATGAACACGCGGACAAAATGCGGAGGCTCTCCTTTGCACGTGGAGTGGATCTGTAGCAATGACTCGTCTCATAGCGGAGGCGAAACCCTCTAGATGTTCTCTATTCTGTAGCGAGACTGTCTCCTATAGAGTGCGCTCATCTAAATCGGGCATGCTGTCCTAATTTGTCTTCGGTGGACTTGAACGGCTCCTCCGAGTAGCGACGTTGGGGACGGACTCCCTCGACTTGAATTTATTACAAGCTTACTTCAGCTAAGCGACAGAGACCGGGCTACATAATATGACTCGTAAGCCTCTTAATGCGCTGTGTAGTGATATTGTGTTTGAAACCTGGAGTATGCTAGCAAGGTGTCAGTCAAGGCAGCTGGGTCAGTGGAGGTGCCAGGGCCCGATCAGGATTGACAGTGGCAGGTCACGTGAGGATGGTAGCCGGTGCGCGTTTCTCCGCACTCGTCGCCGCCGGCACGCACTAACAAATGGTCCACATCTCTGTCTGCAACGCCTCTGCAGCTGTCCATGAGCTGACTTGGTCTACTGATTGCTACTGCTCTAACGACTGCGCTATCGTTGACGCTCTGCTTTCCATTCTCTGTACATCTGGCCCCAAACAACTTACGACATCCGGTTACCCCCGCCCAATATACCAACATGGCTACGAACATGCGAGGCCTGACGCAGGTACGGCTTGGTTTTTGGACTATGCGAGCTAATTCTCACGTGATGTGTCTAGTTCATCGCGGACATCCGCGGTGCGCGCGTCAGGGAGCTGGAGGAGAAGAGGATTAATAAAGAGATGGCCAATATACGCAAACGGTTCAAAGGTACGCCGGCCGCACTGTACTGCAGCGCATATGTTCAACTACGTCAGATGGGAACCTCGATGGTTACCAGAAGAAGAAGTGAGGGTGCCGCTCCTGCACTCCGTGTGCACAGGACTCACGCATAGCGTTCGCACCGCTGCTTAGATATGTCGCGAAGGTCATCTTCACATACATTCTCGGCTACAAGGTCGACATTGGACATATGGAGGCTGTCAACCTAATCTCTAGCTCAAAGTATAGCGAGAAGCAGATTGTGAGTGTCGGCAGCTATGAACCATGTCCGCGTCCACATTAGCTCACTGGCCTTCTAGGGCTATCTCGCCGTGACACTACTTATGCACGAGAACTCTGACTTCCTCCGGCTGGTCGTCAACTCCATCAGGAAAGACCTCAATGATAACAACGAAATTCACAATTGTCTGGCCCTGCACGCCATCGCGAACGTAGGCGGCCAGGAGATGGCGGAAGCACTCGCAGAGGACGTGCACCGTCTCCTTATTTCTCCGTAAGTATCCGATTAACTCTCAGCTTATCACTGCCTGAACGCCGTTCAGAACGTCGGAAAACTTTGTGAGGAAGAAGGCGGCCCTCACATTACTACGCCTGTACCGGAAACACCCTGATGTCATCCCTGCGAAGGAATGGGCTTTGCGTATAGTGTCAATCATGGACGATTCAGACCTGGTGAGCCCATTTCACCGGGTATTTGCATCGGAACTCACGCGTGTGTAGGGCGTAGTATTGTGTGTAACAAGCCTGGTCTTGGCCCTCGCGCAGGATCATTTGGAAGCGTTTGCTGTTGCCTACCAGAAGGCCGTCGACAGGTTGAACCGTGTAAGTATACCGCTTCTATCCGTTCGATACACTCTCACGAACCCCGCGTAGCTTGTTGTTGAGCATGAGTATTCTGCAACGTACGGATACTATAAGGTTCCAATACCCTGGCTGCAAGTCAAACTGCTGCGACTTTTGCAGTACTATCCTCCATCAGGTAGGATCTCCCCACCCTCGATTGCGCCGTTGGTGTTTCATGCTGGATTTTGAAGAGGACCCTACCATACAAACCATGCTGCAGGAGGTTCTGCAGACCATCATGAACAACTGCAACGAACCTTCAAGGAACGTCCAACACAACAATGCACAGCATGCTGTCCTTTTCGAGGCTATCAGTCTCGCCATCCACATCGACACGAGCTCCCCGTTGGTGAACACTGCTGCGGTTCTGTTGGCCAGATTCATTAGCTCTAAGGAGACTAACGTTCGGTATCTTGGCTTGGATACCTTGGCGCACCTTGCGTCGCGAGCGGACAACTTGGAGGCCATTAAGAAGCACCAGGGGACGATCATCCTTTCGCTCCGCGACAAGGACATTTCAGTGCGACGGCGCGCTCTTGACCTGCTCTACAGTATGTGCGATACCGACAACTCGGAGCTTATCGTCGGCGAGCTTCTGCGATACTTGAAGATTGCTGACTATGGACTGCGGGAGGAAATGGTGCTCAAGATCGCGATCTTGACCGAGCGCTACGCGAACACGTACAAGTGGTACGTCGACACCATCCTGGAACTGCTCAGTGCGGCTGGCGACCACGTCGGCGAAGAAGTCTGGTATCGTGTGGTCCAGATCGTGACAAATACGGAGGACCTGCAGGCCTACGCCGCGAAGGTCGTCTTCGAGTACCTGAAGTCGCCATCTTCCCACGAAAGTCTTGTCAAAGTCGGCGGTAAGTGTCCTCGTTGAAGCATTATTGACGTTTCCACTGAACACACCGATCAGGCTACATTCTCGGTGAATATGGTCACCTAATCGCAAACGAGCCGGGTTACAGTCCCATCGAACAGTTCCAGGCTCTGCACTCCAAGTCACAATTCTGCATGGCACCCACCCGCGCTCTCCTTTTGTCGACCTACATCAAATGGGTCAACGTCTTCCCCGAGATAAAGCCCCAGCTTCTCAATGTCTTCGAGCGCTATCGCCATGTCCTCGATGTAGACCTGCAACAACGAGCGTGCGAATTCTTTGCCCTCGCGCAGCGACCAGAAGACGACGAGTTGCTGCAGAACGTCTGCGAGGAGATCCCGCCATTCCCCGCGCGCGAAAGCACACTTGTCAGTCGCCTCAACAAGAAGCACGGAGATACGTCAGACGGGCGCACATGGAGCATTGGTGCCAAGGACTCGAACCTCGACCGGTCGGCGTCGAAGCTCATGCGTAAGCCGACGACCAAAATAACCACAAACGGGTCGGGTGCGACCGCTGCCAACGGCGACCTGTCGTCAGACATCACAAATTCTCTCCTCGGTCTCGACATGAGCAGTTCCCCGATCGCCGTCGAGCCGACAGCGGCGCTGGCTGCGAAGGGGATCCCACGACTCACTGCTGGACCTAATGTCGAGCGTTGGTTCGAGAAACTCCTCTACAGCGGGGACGGTGTGCTCTACGAGGATGTACAGATCCAAGTCGGCGTCAAGTCGCGCTATCACGGCCCCCTCGGTCAAGTCGCAGTGTACATCGGAAATAAGATGTCTGCGCCCCTGACATCGTTCACGACCACGCTGCATACGGAGGAGCCGGAGGCGCTCACGGCGTCGTTCGTGAAGATTGCCCCGAGCACGCTCGCACCACGCACCCAGATCCAGCAGATCGTTCAGGTCGAGTGCAAGAAGATCTTCAAGGTGCCGCCCATTCTCGTCGTGTCCTTCCTCGCCGGAGCGCACCAGACGATCGCCGTTCGGCTCCCGATCGTGATCACCAAGTTCCTCGAGGGCGTGAAGCTTGGCTCTGGCGATTTCTTCGAGCGGTGGAAGCTCATTGGGGGCCCGCCACGCGAGGCCCAGGGCATCTTCCCGATCTCGCTGGACGCCACAGGCCACATCGATACCGCGAAACAGCGACAGGTCGTGTCTGGCTACGGGTTCCAGGTCCTGGACGGCATCGACCCGAACCCAAGCAACGTCGTTGGTGCCGGCATTTTGCATACAGCCGTGGATGGGAAGGTCGGGTGTTTGTTGCGTCTAGAACCAAACAGGGAAGCCAAGGTACGCTCATCACCTTGCCTCCAACTTAAACTGTTTCGCTCACGCTGGTGGCTAGCTTTCCCGTGTCACGGTCCGCAGCACGTCGGAGGACGTCGCCACAGAGGTACAGAAGCTTGTGCAGAAGCCGCTCATGGCAGATGCATCCGCGCTTGCGGAGAAGCGTACCGGTTGATCGTCCCGTGCTGTGACGATGTCTTGTGCTTGATGTTTCCTCGTTCTGTAGCATGGACTTATCTAACGGATTGTATACAACATATCGAACACAGACAACTAATGCGTAATAATACAGACTTGCAAAAAGCGCGAATGCAAGACAGCAGTTGAAGGCGGCAACAGGCGGCGACTATCGCCGTGTCAAGATGGAGCGGAAGATGTTTTTGCGCCTCTTCCCTGTGTCGTCGTCCATCGAGCTATCGGACATCGGTGACTGCAGCGGTTCTGGCGCAGAATTCCTCGCCAGCGGGGAATCAGTGGACGTTGAACGCGGATGGTGGACGAGGGGGGGTGGCTTGACGCGACGGCCATCGGGCGCGGGAGGTGACATGGACATGGTTGGCAGAGACGATGGCAAGGGCATAGGAGGTTGCGGCGGAGAACGAGGCTCAGGGTATGATCCCGAGCTGAAGGAGCGGCCGGAGCTGTCCTCAGACCCTCGCTCAGAACTAGATGGTGCCGTAGAGGGACGGCTGTCGCGGCGACTAGGCGCGTGGACTCGGGTCGACGTTCGGCGACGACCCCGTAGGCGAGCGGCGAGGAGCCGAAAGGGGAGAAGAGAGGGTAAGAGGGATAAACGTATCAGAAAACTCGACGGGGCAGAGCGGCGGTCGGCACGAAGGCACAAGACCGACGAAAGCTAGTCTTCACGCAACCAGCGACAGACTAGTCCCAATGACCAAGTTATACATTAGCAATCGGAGGGAGATACAACGCTATGGTCACTCACCTAGTCCCAATGACCAAGAGGTCGAGATGGGGACTAGGGAGTGCCTAAGGGGGTCCTTATATACTAGAAGGGCTGCTTAGCAACCAAAGACAAGGCGCGAGAGCGAGGCAGTGAAGATGACAAAGGGAGAACAAAGGGCGGGAAGGAAAAGGCAAAGGCATGGTGATCACGGGAACGTAGCATGCGGGTGTGGGAACGTATCTGCAGTGTCCAAACTGGGATGGGCTAAGAAAGGAAATGGTCCGAAAATGGAAGGTGGGCGGTCG